ATAAAATTCGTAAGACCCTACTCAGGCTAACTAAGAAAAAAAGGTTACAAGTTACCAATATCAGAAATAATAGAGGTAGGTTATCACTATAGATCTCATGGACATGAACAGGATAATAAAAAAATACTTTGAACAGTTCTATGCCCACAAATTTGATAACCTAGATGAAATGGACCAATTCCTTTTCAGGACCAATTCCTGAGATTTACTGCAGGTATACAAAGCTACAAATTAATGTAATCCACCACATCAGCAGGCAAAAAGAGACGAATTACATGATGATATCAATAGATGCAGAGAAAGTTTTTGACAAAATCTAACATTCACTGATGATAAAAACTCTCACTAGCAGTACAGGAAATCTTCCATTAACTCAATAAAGACCATCAATTAAAAAATCCCGACAACTAACATCATACTTGATGAGAAACCAGAAGCCTTTCTGTTGATATCAGAAACAAGGCAAGTATGTCTCCTCCCATCATGACTTTTCAACATCAAGCTGGATGTACTTGGATCAAGTACTAACAATACTATAAAACAAGACAATGAAATAAAAGGTATACAAGTTTGGAAAGAAGACATAAAACTGACTTGTTTGCAAATGATACTACCACCTATTTAGGAAACCGAGCAAATCAACAACAATAAAAAAGCTTCCTGAAACTAGTAAATGATTATAGCAAGGTTGCAGGATACATAGTTAATATACAAAGTCAACTGCTTTCCTCTTTACGAGCAATGAACAAGTGGAATTTGAAACGAAAAATACGATGTGATTTACAGTAGCAACCCCCAAAATGAAATACTTAGGTATAAATCTAACAAATATGTACAAGATTCATATGAGGAATACAACAAATCTCTCATGAAAGAAATCAAAGAACTAGATAAATGGAGAGATATTCCATGATCATAGATAGGAAGACTCAATATTGTCAAGATGTCAGTTTTATTCTAACTTTGATCTACAGATTCAATGCAATCCCAATAAAAATTCCAGCAAGTTATTTTATGGCTATCAATAAGCTGATTCTAAACTGTATGCCAGAGAGACAAAAGATCCAGAATAGCCAATGGAATACTGAAGGAAAACAAAGCTGGAGGACCAATGCTACTCGACAATTAAGGGTTACTATAAACCGACAGCAATCTAGAAACAGTGCAGTATTCATGAAAGAACAGACAAGTAGATCAATGACAAAAAATAGACAGCCCGGAAACAGACCCAAAGAAATACAGCCAATAATCATTGATAAAGGATAACAAAGGCAATAGGATGAAGCAATAAGATAGTCATTTCAACAACTGGGTGATAAAACAACTGGGTGGGGTGGGGTGTGTGTGTGTGTCTCCCTGCGCGCGCAGTCATGTCTCTGTGATGTCCACATGCAAAAACTAGCTCAAAATGGATTATAAACCTAAGAATAAAGCTATAAAACTCCTAGAAGATAACACAGGAAAAACTTAAGATTATCTTGGGAATGACAATGACTTTTTAAATATGACACCACACCACAATCCATGAAAAAAGTAATTGATAAGCTGGACTTCTTTAAGAAATGAAACTGTTGTTCTTAAAAAAAACATCATCAGGTTTCCCTAGTGGCTCAGTGGTAAAGAATCTGCCTGGCAATGTAGGAGACACGGGTTCGATTCCTCGTCCAGGAAGATCCCACACAGCGAGGAACAACTAAGCCCATGTGCCACAATTCTTGAGCCTTTACTCTATAGAGCCCAGCAACCACAACTATTGAGCCCATGTGCCGCATCTACTGAAGCCTGCGCACCCTAGAGCCCTTATTCAGCCGCTGAATAGTCACTGCAAGAGTCAAGAGAAGTCACTGCAGCGAGAAACCTGAGCATTAAAACTAGAGTAACCCCGGTCGCAGCAACCAGAGATAAAGCCGCGCGGCAACGAAGACCCAGCACAGCCAAAAATAATAAAATGATTTTTTTTTTAAAAGAAAGACATCATCAAGAATGATAAGATAAGCCACAGACTGGGAAGATGCTGCAAAACCAACACTGCTAAAAGACTGTTATCCAAAATACAAAGAACTCTTGGGACTTCCCTAGTAACACAGTGGATGAGAATCTGCCTGCTGTTACAGGGGATGTGGGTTCAATCCCTGGTCCAGGAAGATCCCACATGCTGCAGGGCAACTAAGCCACGCACTACAAGTATCGAGCCCAAACTCTAGAGCCCGAGAGCTGCAACTACTGAAGTCCATGAGCTGAGAGCCTGTGCTCCGCAACAAAAGAAGCCACTGCAAGGAAGAACTTGAGGACCGCAACCAAGAGTAGCTCCCGCTTGCCACAACTAGAGAAAGCATGCACACAGCAATGAAGATACAGGGCAGCCAAGTAAATTAATTAAGGAATTTTTAAAAATACAAAGAACTCTTAAAACTCAACAATAAGAAAAAAAAAGTCAGAGTTCAACTGATATCTCACCAAAGATATACATACAGACGGCAAATAACCATATGAAAAGATGCCCTGCAACATACAGCATCAGGGAAATGCAAATAAAGACAAGATACAACTACACTGCTCTTACACCGGCTACAATCCACAACAATGTAACAGGCAAATGCTGGTGAGGATGTGGAACAACAGAACCCTAATTCATTGCTGGTGGGAATGAAAAATGGTACAACCACTTTGGAAGAGTCTGGAAGTTTCTTAGAAAATTAAAACATACTCTTACCATATGCTCCAGAAATTGCTTTCCTTGGTATTTACTGAAAGGAGTTGAAAATGTGTAGCTAGAAATTTCTGCAAGAGGACATTTATAGCAGTTTCACACACAACTGCCAAAACTGGGAAGCAACTAAAATGTCCTTCAGCAGGTAACTGGATAAATAAACTGTAATATACCCAGACAATGTAACATTATTGTTGTTTAGTCACTCAGTCATGTTCGACTCTTTTTGTGACCCATGGACTGTAGCCCACCAGGCTCCTCTGTCCGTGGGATTTCCATGGAAGAATACTGGAGTGCGTTGCCATTTCCTTCTCCATGGAATCCTTCAGACCCAGGGATCGAACCACATCTCCTGTCTTTCCTGCATTACAGGCGGAGTCTCTTCCACTGAGCCATGCAGGAAGCCCCAGTGGAACATTATTTAGCACTGAAACAAGTGAGGTAACACACCATGTAAAGGTATGGAGGAAACTTAAATGCATATTTCCTAAGTTAGAAGCTAATCTTTTAATGGCTACATTCCATATGATTCCAACTATTCAACATTTTGGAAAATTCAAAACTATGGAGAGAGTAAAAAGATCAGTGGGGCTTCCCAGGCGCTAAAGAACTCACCTGCCAATGCAGACTTTAAGAGACATGGATTCGATCCCCGGGTTGGGAAGATCCCCTGGAGGCGGGGATGGTAACCCACTCCAGTATTACTGCCATGGTCAGAGGAGCTTGGCCAGCTGCAGTCCAGTGGAACGCAGAGTCTGACACGACTGAAGCGACTTAGCAGGTAGCACTGGGGATGGGAGACAGGTGAACAGGAGTACAGAGGATTTTTAGGGCAGTGAAAATACTATAATGATGGATATATGTCACTATACATTTTTTTCAAAAGAGAATTCTAAGGTGAAGGGTGGATTTTACATGATTATGCATGCATGCTAAGTCACTTTCAGTCGTGTCAGAGTCTGTGCAACCCCATGGACTGCAGCCCACCAGGCTCCTCTGTCCATGGGATTCTCCAGGCAAGAGTACTGGAGCGGGTTTCCATTTCCTCCTCGGGGCTTCCCTGGTGGCTCAGACCGTAAAGAAGCTTTTTGCTAGTCAGGAGAACAGTCTTCACCATGAGGGTTCTAGTGTTTTTCTAGATATGAGAAGGTATAAGAATTGGGCTCATAAAATCGGCTCCTGAAAATACCTATTTGAAGACCTGTTCTGCCAGTTTTTTACAGAGCACAGAGTGCCTCACTTCCGCCCTCCACCCTGAACTCCTTTCATGGGTGTTGAAAATCAGCAGCTGCAGCAGCACGTGACTTAAAATACTTGTAGAGGTAGCAGCAGACTAGCAGAAACATTATGCAAAAAATATGTGCTTGACTGCACTGTACTCCCCCTTCACCAGGAACACATATATATTCTAACCTTCCCCTCCTGCCTCTGTAGCAATTTTCTCAGAGCTATCTGAAATGCTGTCTCCCCGCCTATTTATTAACCTCATTTTGCCTCAAGTAAAACTTAACTCGTAACTCACACGTTTTACATTGAAGTCGACATACATTATCACACGTGTGTAAGATCTCTCAAACATGAGCTATTACACAAATAGCATTGTAATTAATAGAAATTTACCAAAACAAATAAAGGAGTCCATGTTCTTAAAGTACCGCGTCCACTCATTTCAGTTATGAAACATGGAGTAAGCACTGAGCTGTAAAAGGCTGCTTAAGTTAGATGAGTTTTAAGAGTCGGGAAAGACTGAACAACAACTAGCTGTTCCGTCAACTTTAAGTATTTGGAATTTAAAAATTATTTTAGGTCCTTTACAGAATTGGAAGCAGGACCTTTTCACACCCTGACGTATGTGAATGACCATATTCCAAGTTACCTTTTTTATCCGTCTGGAGCAGGTCCTCCAAATGCCGAACTGCCAACCCTTCCGGCCAAGCCGCAGGACGCCGAAACACTTCCGGTCCTCGTGCAGGGGCGGGCGGGCTAAGGCGCCTACCACGCATGCTCGGCCCCGCTCAGCCTCTTCGAAGCGACCCGCCTCCTTACGTCACCTCCAACTTCTGAGGACAGCCACCGGCGGGAGTTTTTCAAAATGGGAGCGCGGAGGCGCCGCCCAGGCCTCGGAAGGTGTCCGGGAGACCTTTCGGTGGCTGTGCTGTCGTCGCCAAGAGCGGCGGCCTAGAGAGCCAAGCCTGATGGGCGCCAAGACCCGCTGGCTGCTTGGAGTGCTGCCTCGAAGGAACTGCGTGAAGGGAGCTGATCCGGGGAGCACGGGCCGCGGCCTGGAAATATGGCGACCTGCATCGGAGAAAAGATCGAGGTGAAAAGACTCGGCAGTCCACAGTAGGGCGGGCGGGAGTCGGAGTGCCGGGTCTCGAGACCCTGGGAGGAAGGGGATAAGACGAAGCTAACAGCTGCAGGGCGGGCCCCGAAGTGCCTGGGGAGGGTCCCAACCACCCGGCCCGGCTGTTTGGGGGCGGAGCGGCCCGCCCCTCGGAGTTGCGGCGGCGGTGGGACAGGTGAGTCGCTCGCGGCCCCGCCCTTCTGTCCGTAGACACCGCGCCCCCTGGTCAGCGATCCCGCCGGAGCTGCCGCGCTAGAGCAGGTCTAGGGTGTCTCCCCCTTCTCCAAGGGGATGGCGGTTACCTCCAGCGGGAGCTGCGGCGGGATTCCGTTCCAGCCCTTAGCTCTCAGGGGTTGGCTGGAGGGGGGAGGAGGGAGGAGGTTGCTGAGGCTACGCATAGGTTGAGGAACCAGATGATTATGGTGCTGTATCTAGAAACCAGCCTGGAGGCTCACAGACACACAAGGCGTCAACATGCTGTCCACCCCAGACACCAGCGATATCGAGGTGTAATACCTGCTTGAATTTTAAATGCAAATTCTCCTTTCGATCCTTTTTATCCTCTTTCCAGTTCCTTCCTATTTCTCTTCCTTTCTACTTCTGGAAATCATCACACATGTTCTTTAATTTTAACTTTTAAGGATTTTAGAGTTGGAAATCTGCTTGGTAAAGGATCATTTGCTGGTGTTTATAGAGCTGAGTCCATTCACACTGGTTTGGAAGTTGCAATCAAAATGGTAAGAATGTATTAATCAGTTTCTCACTTCTACTTTGCAAATAAACTAGAGAAGTTTGCTACTTGAGATGTTAGAAACTCCTTACTTGCCAGCCTTTTCTTTATGGTGTAAAAAACCCATTGCTTAAGCAAAAGACAGTAATTCCAACAGCTGAATTTAAGGATATCTTAAACAAATGCCTTATCTTTACTAATGTTCATTAGATCTGGTATCTGTTCTAATTATGCGTACTTGGAGTAATTGGTAGAAATCAAAGAACAATAATTTATGTATAAGAAGAATACCCTTGTGCATAATTCTGTTTTGCACTGTAACAAGCTAAAATACTATTCTTGATTGTTAGGAGTCAGTCTAACAGAACTAACATAAGCAGATTAAGAAACACCTAAACCAGTAGGAAAAGGGAAGGGAAGTTTTCTTTTAAAACTTTGCTAAATTTGTGTTGTTGTTATCATAGCTATGATAGTTGAGTTATAAATTCTTTAAGTTGGTAGAGTATATTGGAATGCATTGGAGAAAATTATTGAATGTTCATTCTGCCAAATACTCTGCTGGGTGCATGGGGAAAACAGACAACAGAATAAATTGATCTAAAAAGTAGATAAAAGGACAAAAGAATATTTCAAAGTATATTTTATTTTTTCAAAGTTAACATGACAAATTCACATTTGAAAGTTTATCATGAATGTCTAAAACTCTCATGTTATTTCAGATAGATAAGAAAGCCATGTACAAAGCTGGAATGGTACAAAGAGTCCAAAATGAGGTGAAAATACATTGCCAATTGAAACATCCTTCTATCTTGGAGGTAAGATACACATTTTACAAAAGTGGCCAAGGACATTGAATTTTTCTCTATTATAATTTATTACACCCTTTTACATTTCAGCTGTATAACTATTTTGAAGATAACAATTATGTGTACCTAGTATTAGAAATGTGCCATAATGGAGAAATGAACAGGTATTTAAAAAATAGAAGAAAACCATTCTCAGAAAATGAAGGTAGGCCATACTTCTTTTTTTCTTTAAAAAAAAAATTTTTGGTAGATATGAGTTAACTTTTTGTAGTTTTGAAGAATGTACTATTTTGTAATGTTTAGTAATACTGTTCCAATTATTACTTTAGGCTACAAAAGGAGACTGTTCCCCCCCACCAAAGTTTAAACAGCTGTTAGTTCATGTGAATAATTTAGGTGTTACAGAAATAAAGTAGAAGGCGAAATTTACTATCCTTCTTTTAAAAACAACATTTTAAATCATTGGTCACAGTTTAATGTGTATCCTTTGACATCTAGAAAAAGTTTTTTAGAAAAAATGCTATTGATGACTATAAAGTAGTTTCTAAGTCAAACACAAGTGCCTGCTGAAACCATTTGCTTTAGAAAATGTCAAACGTTTAAACTGAGAGAGTAATAATAATGAGCCCCTATGAACTTACCAATCGTCTTTCAAAACTGTCAACTCATGGTCAGATAGTTTCATCTTACTCTTCTTACTCCCCCAGTGCCCCAGAGTGTTTTGAAGCAAATCATAGACACCTTTTTATCTCTAAGTGAGACAGACTTAAAAAAAAAGCAAGCACAAAGTCACTATCACACCTAATAATTCCTTACTATCAAACACATTGTCAGTTTCAGCTTCCACAGTTTCTTAGAAGTAACATTTTTATATTTCAGATCAGGATCAAGTAAGGTCCATGTATCATCACACAAATGACTGTTTTCTATCTGTCTATTTATTTAGGCTGTGCTGTGTCTTATTTGCAGCTCCCAGAATCTTCACTGAGGTTTGCAGACTCAGTGTGGCGTGCATGCAGGATCTAGTTGCCCAAGCAGGGATTGAACCCCGGGCCCCCTGATTTGGGAGCTTGGAGTCTTACCAATGGACCACCAGGGACGTTCCAGAAATGATTGTTTTCAAATTATCTTAGCCTGTTAACTGAGACTGCAGGCTAGATTGAAATCTAAGAAAGATGGTTGTTGACAGGCTTTTTGTCCATTTGATTCTATATTTAACCTCTTTAGAAAACAATTTGGTCACACATATTAAGAATCATGGAAATGTTTATTTCCTTAGACTGAAAGTAAGAACATTATACAAATTGAAAATAAATTCATATACATATTGATGATGAATACTGTATTTTTTCATAATCTGTTTAATAGTAGGGTCTTCTTATATAAGACATAACTTACAAAAAATAGGAAGGAAACAAATTACCAATTTAATTAAAACCAAGAATGTATATGACAAAAGATACTGTCAACAAATTTCAAAGTTAAAGATAGGAAGAAAATATTTATAAAATAAATGGCTGGCCAATTAATATTTAAAATATAAGGCATGCCTGGACTTCCCTGGTGGTACAGTGATTAAAGAGTCCCCCTGCCAACGCAGGGGACGTAGGTTCAATCCCTGACCCAGAAGATTCCACATGCCACGGACAGACCAAGCTCGTGCTCTAGAACCAGTCAGCCGAAACTGCTGAGCCAGGTGCCGCAACTACTGAAACCCACGCACCTAGAGCCTGTGCGCTGCACACACAGTGAGAAGCCCGTGCACCATGCAGTGAAGAGTAGCCCCCGCCCGCTGCAACTAGAGAAAGCCCGCACACAGTGGCAGAGACCCAGCGCAACCAAGAGAGAAACTTAAGGCAATTGAATAGGAAAATGGATGAGGGATAATAAGGAAACTGTTCATAGAAGAGAAAGTATAGTTGGCCAATTCCCAGGTGGTAAAGTGGTAAAGAATCCACTTGCTAATCCAGGAGATGCAGGTGATGCGGATTCAATCCCCGGCTCAAGAAGATCTCCTGGAGAAGGAAATGGCAACCCACTCCAGTTTTTGCCTGGGAAATCCCATGGACAGAAGAGCCTGGTGGGCTACAGTTCATGAGGTTGCAAAGAGACACGCCTGAGTATGCACGCAGGACATGGGGACATCAAAGGAACTTTAGGTTGCTTCTCTCTTTTTTACAATTTGAGTGTATTTATGAATTTTTTGTTTAATTATAAATATTTTCTCTTAATTTCTATGGACTTGTGATTACCCTAGTTAACTCTAGTCACTCTCAATTCTTAATAAAAGTAAGCATCCCTTAACTGTATTAGAAAACTCATCAGTTGTAAAGGACAAAGATTAAAAGGAGTGCCTAGATGTCTTAAAGGGAAATATTAAAGAATATTATAAAATTATCAGAGTGGTATTTTGGTTGGTGAAACTAAGCCACAAACCAGTTCACTAATTGTAATATTAGCTTATGTACTTGGGTTTCATAATGTATTCTAAATACTGAATCTTCAGATTTTCTAAGTTGTAACTTTTATTTTTTGCATTCTAACAGCTCGACACTTCATGCACCAAATCATCACAGGCATGTTATATCTCCATTCGCATGGTATATTGCACCGGGACCTCACCCTTTCTAATCTCTTACTTACACGTAATATGAACATCAAGATTGCTGATTTTGGGCTGGCAACTCAGTTGAAAATGCCACATGAAAAGCACTATACGTTATGTGGAACTCCTAATTACATTTCTCCAGAAATTGCAACTCGAAGTGCACATGGACTTGAATCTGATATTTGGTCCTTGGGCTGTATGTTTTATACGTTACTTATTGGGAGACCACCTTTTGACACTGACACGGTCAAGAACACATTAAATAAAGTAGTATTGGCAGATTATGAAATGCCAACTTTTTTGTCAAGAGAAGCCAAGGACCTTATTCACCAGTTACTTCGTAGAAATCCAGCAGATCGTTTAAGTCTGTCTTCAGTATTAGATCATCCTTTTATGTCCCGAAATTCTTCAAAAAAAAGTAAGGATCTAGGAACTGTAGAAGACTCGATTGATAGTGGACATGCCACAATTTCTACAGCAATTACAGCTTCTTCCAGTACCAGTATAAGTGGTAGTTTATTTGACAGAAGACGACTTTTGATTGAACAGCCACTCCCAAATAAAATGACTGTATTTCCAAAGAATAAAAATCCAAGTGATTTTTCTTCTTCAGGAGATGGAAGCAGCTTTTATACTCCATGGGGCAATCAAGAACAAGAAACCAGTAATAGTGGAAGGGGAAGAGTGATCCAAGAGGCAGAAGAAAGGCCACATTCTCGATACCTTCGTAGAGCCCATTCCTCTGATAGATCTGAGACTTCTCATGGTCAGTCTCGAGTGAAAACATACACAATGGAACGATGTTACTCAGCAGAAATGCTTTCAAAACCCAAACGAGCAGGAGCGGAGGAAAATGGAAAATACTCACCCACAAACAACGATGCTAATATTTTTCACTTCTTTAAAGAAAAGACATCCAGTAGTTCTGGATCTTTTGAAGGACCTGATAACAATCAAGCACTGTAAGAATAATTCTATCAAAAGCATTTTACTTTTAGATAAGCATTGTATTATCACAAACATGAAGCTGCTTGTAACTAAGGTTGCAGGTACCTTTTTTCTAACCCTATCAGATATTCCTGGGGCACTTCTTAACTATGATTTCTATTTTTTAATAGGGAGAGAACCAAAATGATAATTTTGGATTATGGTTAAGAATTAAAATGAGTATATGTGCTCATGGATGTATGTGTAGTATGCATTTAATACTTTGAAATTTTTAGTGTCATGTTTAATTTTATATGAAGCAGGTCTCCAGTGCAGTATATCATATTTTAAACATGTGTGATCCCTAAAGTACTATTAACAGTAACCATACGTAAACACACACACACAAATAAGAGAATAGCTGAGCTTAAGTGATGAGTAATCATACTGTTACCTGCTTCTTACGTGAAGACTAGGTTTTTAGTAACTAGTGTTTGTTTTTTTTTTTCCCTCTAGTTTTTATTCTTAAATTACAAGAGGATAGTAGCCATATAGAAATAGTGTCACAGTGCCATGGGCATTTTGGCATGGGAACTTAGCTTCGTAGAGACAATTTAGTTATGTAAATATTGGGTTCTACTATTAATCTAAAAGTTTTTAGATGTTCATATCAAAAGAAATCTTTTAAAGTATTTTTATCTTACAAAGTTATTATCAGATAATTTTTTATTAGTTTATGGAAAAATTTTTTTTCTTTCTTTAGCTCCAATCATCTTTGTCAAGGAAAAACTCCCTTTCCATTTCCTGACCAGACACCTCAGACTGAAATGGTGCAACAATGGTTTGGGAATCTGCAAATAAATGGTGAGTTTTTAATGGACTATTTAATAAAATATTAATAATTTGGCCACTTAGCAAGCATTGCAGCTTTCTCTTTGGATTTTCTTAAGGAAATAATGGCATTTTGAATAAACCTAGTTATAATAGTAATATAACTATTAGTAATATAGTAATAGTAATATAATAATAATAATAATACATTTTGAGTATTTACTGTATCAACCACTGTCCTTAATGCTTAACATGTATTAACTTTTTAAATTCTCACAAAAACTATACGAGGAAGACACTATTATTAATCCTGTCTTACAAATGAGGAAGTTATAGTGCACAAAGCTTAATTTGCCAAGCCACACTGTCCATAAATGGAAGAGACACGAGTCTGACCCACGCAGTCTGACTCAGAGACTTTAGTCTCTAACCCCTCTGCTCTCGAAGTCTCTCTGTAATAAGTACCTTATCAGTACCTATAAAATAATCAAAAGATGGTTGATTTTATTTTTAACTGTAAGGGGGTATGGATATCCTAGTACACCAATGGGACCTCGCATACACTACACAGCTACTAAAACCTAAACACTGTTAAACAGCTATCATTAAGTCATTATTTCATTTATAGATCCATAGTTTGAAAGTTAAACATTTCTCCTTAATGAACATGCTAGATTCACAGAAGTGGGTTGGAAAATAATTATGGGAAAAAGAATAAAAAAGAAACATATGGAAGAAACATATGGAGAGGAGAAGATAATTTCTTACTAAGTATCATATTACTTCAGACAAAGTACATAATATATGGGTGTAATTTAAGTAGAGTTGTTTTGTCACCACAATTCTATTTTTTTGTGTGTGTATTATTTTCAAGAGCCCAAGAGATAATTAGTCTTTTTATGTGTACTTGTTAAAGCTGATAATTCAACCTTATGTGTTTTAAACTATAAAACTGCTCGGTGCTTAAATCTTGTACTTAACCTTCTACTGTATTTATAGATACTTTTTATTTGGTAACATGGACATGTCTGGGGTAACCTTGTTTATAATACTCTAGTAGTGCTGCTGCAATTTCAAAGTATATTATTTGATATAAGATATTTCCTATTATAATGGTAGTGAGGAGGGGGAGGCATGTAAAAGTCACTTAAGGGGAAAACCGAGATACAGATTTCTAGATTTAGAATTAGAAAAATTGCCTTACAAAGTTTTATATACTCTAACCATTTTAAGGGCTTTTTAAAAAATAATGTCTCCATGTGAACTCTAGAACTGTTGATATATAAAATTTAAACAGGTAAAGTTCAACAAGAGTTTTTTTAGAAATGTAGCTACAAATAACATTTGTAATATTAAGTATTAATGATATTAAAGCTATTTTGTATATTTTAGTGTGTTTTGGCTTTAGTTGCATATTTTGTAAGTAAAAATGAAATAGTCCTTAGCTTACATGTTATGTAGAATGATTATTTGGGAACTCCTCTCAAATCTGTATTTATTGCAGCATTGGCAGTTGCTTGTTTAGTATTAGTAGGTGACCCATTTAGTAGATGACTAGTTTTTGCTTTGATTGAAAAATTAATTTCATATTGGTATCTTTTCTTTCTTAGTCTTAGACTTTAAGGTATTCCTTTGCAGGCTAGCTCAAAATATCCTTTTAAAGTCATAAGTCACTATTTTATTATGCCATATCTTTTTCTCTTTTGTGGCTGCACTGCATGGCTTGTGGGATCTTAGTTCGCAGACCAGGGATTGAGCCCAGGCCCTTGGCTGTGAAAGCACCAATTCCTAATGGCTGGACTGCCAGAGAAGTCCCCTATGCCATATCTTAAACTGAAAAATTATAAGTTTTTTAACTAGATTTCTTTTGTTCTTCATAAAAAAGTATGCTGTTGTAACCAGCATGACATTGTTTTGTGTAGACTTGACTTTAATTATTCACTAAGTTGCTTTATTTTATGTATATTGTAGCTCATTTAAGAGAAGCTACTGAGCACAACAGTATTAGCCCAAACAGAGACTTGTCCAGATTTGCAGGACACATCAGGAAATTCCTAGACTGGTACAAGAGCCAAAAGGAGCCCCGGTGCTTCTCATAATGCATGTTCTGTGAAACATTTGAACACCATGAAATCTATGACTGCATATCACACTAAACCTGGAATAATTCAACAAGAATCTATTTTTGGCTTAGATCCTTCTGAACAAAGCAAGACTAGGGGTGTGGAGCCACCATTGGTTTATCAGAAGCGTACATTACGGAGCATTACATCTCCTTTGACTGCTTATAGGTTAAAACCAATCCGACAGAAAACCAAAAAGGCCGTGGTATGTCTGTTATTTTTCTAAATCACTGTATGATGTTTTCCTTGAGTATATGGTTTCAGGTATCAAACATGGTATCTTTTCAGTTCTCTATAATGTCCCTGCATTTTTTATATGTACTTGATAAACTCACATAAGAGAAAAGATATTGCATGTTTATGGAAAAATAGCTATTGTTTTCTTCTAAATACTTTAAGAATGGTGAACTGATATGAACTTTAAATTATTGATAATGAAAAACATTTAGAAGTAATACTGGTTAAATGCTGTGTTAAATATTATTCACAGTTCTAATCACTAAATTAACATCTAGTATTATCTTTTGTTTTTATTGTTTCTACATTTAATCCAGTCTCAAAAAGATAAACTAGAAAATATAACTTTTTAACATCTCAAACTATTAATGTTTTAACAGCGATATGAAAAATAAGTTGAGGATTTTTTTTTTAATGTCGTGTGTATTGGGAATAGTGATTTTTATTTTTTAATTCCCTATTCATCCTGTTTGTCCCTTGTTTTCCATTTCACCCAGTCTTGCCTTTAATTGGAGTGCTGTTCTTTCCAAAGTCCTTGAATTCTCCACCCTACCTTCTGCTTCCTTTCTGCTCACTGGTTATTTCACACCTCATTACACCGTCTCACCTGGGCTCCTTATGTTTCACAGTTGTCCTCAAATACACCTGTGACCTAGAGTACTGCAGTGAAGCAGCTATTTTGTTTTTACGTTAATTTTTGTTTCTGCCATGGTTAAGTACTTTGCTCTTCACTAATATATATGTCAGAATGTTCTAATAAATAATTGTTATTGATTTTAGTTTGTTTGTTTTAGGTGAGCATACTTGATTCAGAGGAGGTATGTGTGGAGCTTCTGAAGGATTATGCATCTCAAGACTATGTGAAAGAAGTTCTTCAGATATCCAGTGATGGTAGTACGGTAATGTGGATTCACTTTGATTATCTTGCAGCTGCATCATTTAAATATTTACCATTCCATTCATTCTATTACAAAACAATTTTTTAATTACTTTTCCTGATATGATAGTATATATGGAATTCAAAAACTAAAATAGCATACTAAAATAGTGTGGTTTAAAAAATAATTATAACTAGTAACAAAATCTAAACTTTAGGCTTAAGTTTAAACAGTGAAAAAATTACTTTTAGAGAGTATTTATGTTTTCAATAAAGATAAAATTTAATATTCATGTGAGCTGTTTTTATAATTTTAGTGACAAAATATAGTTCTTTAACTTAATGGCATATAATTAGAATTCTTAAAATTTTTTGACAGATCACTATTTATTATCCAAATGATGGAAGAGGTTTTCCTCTTGCTGATAGACCACCCTCACCTACTGATAATATCAGTAGGTACAGTTTTGATAATTTACCAGGTATGTAAATTTACCAGGGAATAAATTTAGATAATGGATTTATATAAATCCATAGACATAAATTCTATACATGTGGATATCATAAATTGTAAATATCTTGACTTCATTTGGGCTGTAAGTTATGTTCTTATAACTCTATATCTGGTGATATGTGCTGTACCTTACTAATTCAGTGTTCAGGCATGTTATGTGTTATAATGGAATTTTATTTAAGGAAAAACTAACTCTGGAATATTAGTCATGTGTCCACAAATATACTTTGTACACTTGTTTAGTTACAGTTTGTCTAGAATAGTGTTAAAAATTCAACATGAAGTATCTGGTTTTTGGCTTTTGAAATCTTTCTGTGCTACATAATGATCCCTTGTAATTGCGGTTAACCAAATTTGATTCCCAGTTCAGTTTCTGGATATTACGAATTAGAAAATTAAGCACTGAGTAGTAAGACTTCCCTAAGGTGACTTAAAAACAAATGAGAGAAAAAAAAAATAAAATAAATAAAATAAAATAAAATACTGGTAAAAAAAAAAAACAAACAAAAAAAAACAAATGAGAGAACCTATCTAACCTAACCTTATTAGAATTAAAGCAGGTAGGCAAGACTATTAAATACTATAAATGACCACTGCTGCTCCTGCTGCTTAGACACTTCAGTCGTGTCCAACTCTGTGTGACCCCATGGACTATAGCCTGCTAGGCTCCTCTGTCCATGGGGATTCTCCAGGCAAGAGCCACTGGAGTGGGTTGCCATGCCCTCCTCCAGGGGATCTTCCTGATCCAGGAATTGAACCCAGATCTTCCACATTGCAGGCAGATTCTTTACCGTCTTGAGCCACCAGGGAAGCCCATATATGACCATGGTTACAGGAAACTACAAAAATTTAACATGCTGTACTTTACTAATATAAAAAGTGCTACATTTCTTTTTCTCAAAGTCATTTGGTTCTGATATCAGATAGAACTCTTTTCATTTCATTTATTAAAACTTTCCTAGAGTCATTATCTTACTTATAGTAAGGAGTCAGTGATTCAAAGAGAGATTTTTTTTTTTTAATAGTCATAATACTAATCCATCAGATTTTGTTACATACATCTTGGGAATTTTATTATACTGTCCTTAGTTTTCATTAAAATAGAAGACTTACATCTCTAAAATATTTTTATTTTGGTAATAGGATTATTAACTGTGGGTAATGGAATTATTAACTTTTGACTTAAATTTTTGAGAAAGAGTAGAAATAAATATTAAGACTGTTACTGAATTTATGTCAACATTTTAATTCCCTAAGATTAGGTAACTTCTTTTTCTCTGCCTAGAAAAGTACTGGCGAAAATATCAATATGCTTCCAGATTTGTACAGCTTGTAAGATCTAAATCTCCCAAAATTACTTATTTTACAAGATATGCTAAATGTGTTTTGATGGAGAATTCCCCTGGTGCTGATTTTGAGGTTTGGTTTTATGATGGTAAGTGCCATTTAGAAATGGTTATTTTTTCCCCTTTAGCTTGTAACTTTGTAGTTGTGGGTTTGTTTTTTTAATTCAGCATAGTTGTTTGTTTGTTTTGCCCACACCATGCGCTTGTGGGATCTCAGTTCTCAGACCAGGGACTAAACCCGGGTCACAGGAAGGAAAGCTCAAAATCCTAACCACTAGAGAATCAGCGAATTCCCTAGCACAACAAGTGTGTGTGTGTGTATTTAACAACATTCTGATTGATATCCTACTTCTTATTAGAACTTAAATGGACATATATAATAAACATTGCAAAAGGGTATGGTTGAAACAGAATCTTATTTTCTAAATACATAAAGATGTTCACTTTTTAATCTGTAAAGTTTCCTCCTTTATGTGTCCTAAGGGACACATAGAGTGTATACTCACACAGTATACTATAATTATAGCTTTCCTTCACTTACATACTTGTATCAGTAGTAGTTTTTGAAAAATATAAAAGTTTCAAACTTAAGCCAGATATAGTCAGAAAAGAAAAATGGCATATATTTATTGGAATACTATTTGAGAGCCTCATTTTATTAATGGCCAATGAGTAAATGTAAATGATACCTTGATCTAGGAGCTATTATATACTGGAGTATGATAATGAATATAATATCATACATATTCATATATATACATATATTCATACACATATAATGAATATTTATAGAAATGATAAAAGAATTTTCTGCTTATTTTTTAAGGAGCAAAGATACACAAAACAGAAGATTTAATTCAGGTGATCGAAAAGACTGGCAGATCTTACACCTTAAAAGGTGAAAGTGAAGTTAATAGCTTGAAAGAGGAGGTAAAAATGTATATGAACCATGCTAATGAGGTATGTACCTACTTTTAGTAGGTTTTTTAACCAGTTAATAACATTACAAATGACATAGGTGAAGCAATGACAGAAAGCACTCTTTTAAAACAGGGCCACCGTATTTGTTTAGCACTGGAATCCATAATTTCAGAAGAGGAAAAGAAAAGTGGAAGTGCTCCCTTTTTCCCCATAATCGTAGGAAGGTAAATGTTTGAAAATTTATTAAGTAAGAGTAAAATGTGTAGAATTTTTTTTTTTAGTGTTTACATTATGAGCATTCTTCTGTTTTCTGTAAATTGAGAGCTTTAAGGGAATGTATTTGACATGTCTTTCTCCTTCAGAAGACCTAGTAGTACTAGTTCACCTAAGGCCTTAACACCTCCTCCTCCTGTGGATCCAAACTACCCAATGAGAGAGACACCATCTCGGAATGGAATGATCATAAATAGTGCTGCTTCTCCGAAACAGGCACCAGTACTTAATCCTCCTGTAAGTAAATATATGTCACTTCTGTACTTTAAACTCTTCAATGATTGCCTAATGTCCTTGATATAAAATTAAAACAACCTGATTGTGGTCTTACTATCACCTAGCTACTTTTCCAGCCTCATCCTGCACTACTTTACCCCAGCACTCTCTGGGTTTAATTATGTCAAACTCTCAGGGCCTTTTCACATGCTGTTCACTTGACCTGGAATTCTTTTCCTGAACCCTTGAATGGCTTGCTTTCTCTGCCTGCAGCTCTCAGTTTAAGCATTACCTCAGCAAGGCCTAACCTGACTTCTCAGGGAAAACACCAAATATACTAACATATATATACTTTTATTTTTGCTAGTAAAATACCATTAATTTCCTTAATATCCATGATAGGATCATGGTTAAATAAACATATTTTTACCAAATGAACTATCATACCAATGAAGATGATAGAGCAATGTAGTAAAATATAAGATTAAAGATAGGTCTGTGTGTGTGTGTATGTGTGTATTCACAAACATTTATAATTGTAGCTATGAAAAATTATATCTTTGGGGAAATGAATAAAAGAAATCTACCAAAATGAAAATTTTTTTTCCTGTCCTGTGCATTTATTTTCTATAATGTGATTATATTTTTTTACCTTTTTTATAAATTAAGATAATGAAAATCTGGTCATTTTCTACTTTTGCTGAGGTTGACTTATTAGAATGCTGAGGAATGATATCTTCCTTTCTTTTACTGTTTGTAGGTGGTTACAGATGAAGGACTTGGCCTTACGGGTGCAGCTTCTGAAACAAACAGCTCTCCTAGAAGTCTTAAAGATTGTCTCCCTAAATCAGCACAACTTTTGAAGTCTGTTTTTGTGAAAAATGTTGGTTGGGCTACACAGGTGAGCAGCTTTTAGGAAAGTGAGTTTTCTAAGTATGTAATAATTTGGTTTCCACAGTGATTGACAATGACCAAAAAATATAAATTAAAGATTTCTCTTTGCAAGAAAGTTTTTACACCTTTTTTTGCACTGGGTATGTCATTAATAATTTTTAAGTTTTTTTATTTGTATACACTTGGAAAACTCTAGATACTGTTGATACCAAATTGCTTGCTAGGGCCTAGGTGACCTGTTTTTGCCATTTGTCTTTTAAAGTAGAGGTCATGATAATGGTTAAACGTTAGGACTTGAGAATGTCTAGGCATTTTAAGTTTTAGAAAGTATTTGTAATCTATATTAGTAAAGTAACTTTAATTTGGCAGAAAAGATTTTTTGCATTTTAAAGTTGGGTCTACACCAAATTGCAAACTTAAAAGAATTTTATGTAGGTGTAAACCTATATGTGTATGCTATCTGAAACCTTGAATTTTGGAGATTTTTGAGTATAACACATGCAATTTTTCTTACCAGTGAAGTAAAATACAGCTTAGTCCTTTATGGAAGTAGGAAGTAAAGGGAAGGGAATGTAGCATTTGTCGAGTACCTCCTATGTGGTACCATGTTTTTCACATACATTGTCACATTATTTCCCAAAATAAAACCTAGTAAAGTTAATGCCATCTCCTCCTTTCATAGATAGTAAAATTGTGGCTTATGATGGATAGGTTGACTTGCACATTCCTACTAGTTAGTCGACAGAATCTGGATGTAAACTCAAGTATTGGATTCCTGTACTCTGTTTGGAGTGGCAGGCACATTGTAAGTATTAGTGACTAAAGGAACAAGTTTCAAAAGCAAAGATGTAATATTTTCAGGCAGAACAAAAATTCTTGTGGCCTAAGAACAAAGAATGGATGAAAATTGTAATCTAAGGAAGTGTTTGATAATTTTCTAAATCTGTTCTCAGCTAGAAATATTATGGGAAAGGAAAAACACTTGTTCAGACATCCTAGTAGAAATTAGTGAAAAACAGGATTTATGTAGAATAAATTTAATTTCTGATGTCCTATCTATTAAAGGAATCACCTGAAAAAAATATGGATATTTTCAAATGTTGCTGCCATCACAGCCCCAAATTTGTAGTTACCTGAAGGGTTGTTTTTTGTTGTTATTTTTTAACTTTGTGAAAAACCTGTTAAACATGAGTGCCTTTTAAGAATTTATGCTCTACTGTATAGTAATTTTGCATGCTTATTATTTTTCTAGTTAACTAGTGGAGCTGTGTGGGTGCAGTTTAATGATGGGTCCCAGCTGGTCGTGCAGGCAGGAGTGTCTTCTATTAGTTATACATCACCAGATGGTCAAACAACTAGGTAAGTTTTAAAATACTGGTTGAGATTCAGCCCTTTGCTATAATTTTTTTTCTCTACTTGTTGAAATAAATGACTTAAGGTACTCTTTTCATGTTGACAAAGTTCATCTTATTATTTAAACTGTTATATATTCAAAGCAGCTCATAGTCTTTTTAATACATATTTTATGATTATCTACAGGAATGTAAGGTAGCTGTTATGTATTATCCACACCAGATGGTTAGATTGCTTTAGCCTTACTGTTCCTTTAGTCTAACTAAGTTGACCCTTTTCAGAAGTAATGTACTTCTAAGTAATATATTTAGTTTATATAAAAGAACACAGAAACAAGGAATCTTTATTTTAATAGATATCCAGATTATTTTTCCCAAATGAAAGGCTGTATCCCCTGATCTAATGTAAAGTGATTAATGATTAAAAGAATTTTTAAAATGTATATATTAATTCTGAATGAGGGTATATGCCAGGCTAATACAATACATATGCTAACAAAGAAAAATCTATCAACAACAACAAAAAGCAGTGGTTTGGTTTCCACATTTCAAACCATAACTTACTAAAAAGAGGTAGGGTGCAAATGATGCCAATACAAACATGCTACTTTATGAAAAGTGCTTATTGTGGAGGAAATACTTGGAACAAACATAGTTTGTGGGTGTCTACCAACTGCTTTTGTGTGTATATATGCAGTACCATCATTTAAAGAACTCACAGGTTGAGGGGTCTTATTGAAACAACATCTTCCAAATGTTCTAGGAAGTGGAAAGATACAGGTATAAAATGGGTAGAACCCATATTCAACGATAAAAGTTCAGATTTTTACTTGATATGGTAGTTTGGAAAATTTTGATATTTAATGGAAATGTTATTATAATGTGTTTAGCTTGTATTTTCTTTAGGGTCTTCAGCTTAAAAGCAGTGGTTGGTGTAGAAGGACATGGCAACCCACTCCAGTATTCTTGCCTGGAAAAATCCATGGACAGAGGAGTCTGGCGGGCTGAAGTCCATGGGATTACATGACTGAGCATGTGTGCACGAGGGTGGAGGGAGATGGGTTGGTAGCAATAAACTGGTAGAACTTAAAAAAAAAAAAGCAGTAGTTTGGTTAGGACACCTAACTTTGCTCTTAGAACATATACCCTTGAAATTACTGTGTTTATATGCTTGTATTGAACAGTCTTTTGAAGCAAAAATATAAATGGTGTATGGTATATTTGTGCTTTTTTATTTTCCCTACTTTAGACATGTTAAGAATCATGGACAAAACATGATGGAGGAATCTAGATTTTCAGCTTGTATAAAATCTGTTCAAGTTTTTTTATCTATTTTATTATTTAAATATGTTTAGAAATTGATCTTTTTTAAAAGGATACAAATTGAGTATGTTTTAGTGTCTTAATAAATAATTTTGTATAATCTTTCTGCACTGCCTTTTGCCGTTGAAGAATTACTGAAAAATATACTGTGCTTTTTGGTATTCATACAAACTGATTAAGTTATGATTTTATCTTTTTCTCTTCTGCTTCACTTAGGTATGGAGAAAATGAAAAATTACCAGAATACATCAAACAGAAATTACAGTGTCTTTCTTCCATCCTTTTGATGTTTTCTAATCCAACTCATAGTTTTCATTGATTAAAGCTCCTTTTAGATATGTAAGTTTAATAAATAACTTTTTTGTTGGCTTTCAAGTAAAGTGACTTTTTTTTATTTTAAAAAACTTCTTCAGAAAGCCTTTCTGTAAAAGAGAATTTTAATCTGTACCATAAAGGTATGTCTGTCTTCCAATGAGAGAACAAAGCAGAATGGTAGTGGTCACAAAATGTAGTGGTCATTAACTAAAATAGGACACCTAACTTTGCTCTTAGAACATATACCCTTGAAATTACTGTGTTTATATGTTTGTATTGAACAATCTTTTGAAGCAAAAATATAAATGGTGTATGGTATATTTGTGCTTTTTTATTGTTTTCCCTACTTTAGACATGTTAAGAATCATGGACAAAACATGCTGGAGTTTCTGAATTTTGAACATGTAAATAATGTATATTTATGTTATAAGTAAGGTGTGAACATGTATATTTGTTTTATATTTATTTTTGTAGCACTAGTTTGTGATGAAACATTTCTGCAGATGCATTTTATTAAAAAATAATAAATACAGTGATAAGTTACTTTATTGATTTATTTACTTAATTTAAAATAACTTAGTAAACTTATTGCCTGTTCAAGAGGAGGCAACTGAATTTTTAAAATTAACTTTTTAAATGGTAAGTACATTGTTTCTCTACCTTTATCTGAAAATATCTGTATATTAATGATAAACATTTTAACAATGAAGAATTCAACAATTCAATTAACATGAGGAATGGTGGCTCGGACAGTAGAGAATCCACCTGCAATCTGCGAGACCTGGGTTCGATCCCTGGGTTGGGAAGATCCCCTGGAGAAGGAAATGGCAACCCACTCCAGTATTCTTGCCTGAAGAATCCCCATGGACAGAGAAGTCTGGCAGGCTACAGTTCATGGAATCACAAAGAGACATGACTGAGCGACATGAGGAAAAAGAATATTCGATGGTGGGACAGCCATTCTTAATGAAATACTCAAGGTAAAGTAGGAATAAAATGAAACTACTTAAATATAATAGACTGCTACACAGTGTTTTTTTTCTGCTAATTTTTATAATCAGAGAATATTGGAGCCACTCCATTGAATACCTGTTGTCACAGTTATTCAACACTGATTTGGAGGTTGCTGTCTAAAGCAATGAGAAATTTGTGGCATAAATTGCACAGTTAATAAGAAAAAAACAACCCAATTTAAAAAAGGACAAAAGATATGAACAGATAATTCACAAAGGAGAAAATCCATAAAATGAATCAGAACATACTCGCCACATCTGGAGAAATATAAGGCTAAAACAAAAATAATTTCCTTTTATCAAAGAGATTGGTTAAAAAAAAAAGTCATATTGCTACCATGACGAGGGTGTTCTCAGGTGTTGATTAGAGTATAAATGAAAAAGCAATCTGACAATATTAGAATTAACATTTTAATACACTGGCAATCCAACTTTGGGGAAGAAAATTATATAAACCATTCTCAGGGATAAAAATATGATTAAATGTAAGAAATTCCTCTTAAAAATAGAAATAAGGGCGTTCTTAGATTCAAATATATTTTGCTTTGATTGAATTTAAGTATTTTTTAAAATTATCTCTTTCAGTCTTAATGTGTCTATGTTTCAGGCATTTCTCTTATGTATACTATATAACTAAAATTTTCAATCCAATGTAATAAGCTCTGTAGTCTACTTTGTTTACATTTATTATCATTTCTGATTTATTTTCACTGTCATTATAGTTCTGTTGTGTTTCTGACTTTTAAAAAAATTTTATTTTCCAGCTTATTCTGTGTTTTCTACTTGTTTGCTTTTCTTTTCCTTTACTGCCTTCTTTCAGGTTGAATTTCCTTTTCATATGCACATTATCTCTTTAGTATTTTAATGTTCCTCCATCTTTAATTTCCATTACAAAATTATCTATGGCATCTTATTACTCTTGTGATCCTTCTAATTTGTTCATGTCTGAAATTATTTTTTTAAGCTTATTTCCTGAGCTCTTCCAGCAATATTTTCATACCTTATTATTTTCTTAGTTCATTGGGAAATGTTCCCATTTCTCAGTTTTTCAAAATATGATTTTATCATTTTTTGCCTTTCCTTCACTTCATAATTTATTTCAGCTCATTTTATAATACATTCTGGTTTTATCTGTTTATGGGCATATCTATCTGGCATGCTTTTGTCATCTATCAGAACATTTGGTCAACTGCACACTTTCCCTGTTTCTCCTCAGCAATTATTCCAGTAAATGGCATCTGCATCACTAGTTTTTCATTTCAAAATCCTGGCACTCATTCTGAACACCTTATTTTACCTTTAATCTAATCACCAATTAATCCTGCTAACTACCTCTAAACTGCATTCAACATGCTTTTAATTCCCAATTCCACTGTCAGTTCCCTAACTGAAGTCACCAGCATCACTCATCTTGACTATGACAATAGCTTCCTTCATGTCTTCAAACATCTACTCTTGCCTCCTATATCAGCCAGGGGTTTTGGTTACAAACTAAAACACAATCTAAGCTATAGAGAAAGTATTTATTAGAGGATATTAGCTCAGACCCTCTAGGAGGGACAGAGATTCAGGCTCTGCAGCTAGGAACAATGGCTGTTACCACAATGCATGCGCTGTCCCAGAAGAGACCCTGCCACCCACGCTCAGCAGACCCCACACCCACGCTGATGGAGCTAGGGGAACAGGTTCCGGGGACCTGACACTGCTTGCTCTAAAATCCAGCCACTGACCTTGCTCCCTCACAAACTTCTCCCCTTACCTCAACAATGCCACTTTACATCTGACTTCAAACAAGATCCCGAATGAGATCTACATAGTGCTCTAGAGCCAGCATGCCCCGACTACTGAGGCCTGTGCATCTAGAGCCTGGGCTCCACAAGAAAAGCCACTGCACTGAGAAGACCGCGCTACAGTGAAGGGTACCTCCCGCTCACAACGAGTGAAAGCCTGTTCACAGTGAACACCAAGTGCAGCCTAAATAATTTTTAAAATCCACAATGAAATACATCACCTCTTCCCGTCAAAAACATAAATATAAAAACTGTAAGAGTGTAGAGAAAGGGAACACTCATGTACTGCTGATGGGAATGTAAACTGCTATAGCCACTGTGCAAGAGTGGAGATTCCTCAAAAAATTAGAACTACCATGTGATCCAACAATTCCACCAGGTATATATCCAAAGAAGATGAAGGCAGGATATCAGGAGATATGTGCCTTCTCATGTTACTACAGTATTATTTACAACAGCAATGAGATGACCGACAACCTAGGTGTCCATCAGCCGATCAATGGATAAGGAACCAGTGAAGTTGATCATGGACTGTAGCCTACCAGGCTCATCCATCCATGGAATTTTCCAGGCAAGAGTACTGGAGTGGGTTGCCATTTCCTTCTCCAGGGGATCTTCACCCAGGGATGGAACCCAGGTCTACCGCATTGCAGGCAGATGCCTTACCCTCTTAGCCACCAGAGAGGTTTTCAGTTAAGTGTGTGTGTGTGTGTGTGTGTGTGTGTGTGTGTGTGTGTGTGTGTGTGTGAATATTATTCGGCCATAAGAAAGGAGATTCTGTCATTTGTGACAACATGGATGGATCCTGAGGGCATTATGCTAAGTGAATAATGTCAGAGAGGGACAAATACCCTATCACACCACTTGTATGTGGAAACTAAAAGAGCCAAACTATTAGGCAGAGAGTGGAATGATAATTGCCAGGGGCGAGGGAGGGAAGGGAATGGGGAGATGGTCTAAGAGTACAAACTTCCTGGTGATTATAGTTAGTAACACTGTACTATATACTTAAAAATTGCTAAGAGTTTATTTTAATGTTCTCACCACAAAAAAGAAAGAGTAATTAATGTGACATGATGGCGGTGATAGCTAATGCTATTGTGGTAATCATTTTGCAATATTTAAGGATCAAATCAACATGTTGTGCCCCTTAAACTTAATGTTATATGTCCATTATATTAATAAAGCCAGAAAAAACAAAAGACAAAGGAAAAAGATAACCCTCTACATACCAAGATGGCTTCCCAGGTAGCTCAGTGGTAAAGAATCCACTTGCCAATGCAGGAGACACGGGACATGTGGTTTTGATTCCTCAGTCAGGAAGATCCCCCTGGAGGAGGAAATGGCAACCCATTCTAGTATTCTTGCCTGGAAAATTCCATGGACAGAGGAGCCTGGAGAGCTACGTCAATGGGAGTCGCAAAGAGTCGACATGACAAGAGTATGCATGCACTACATACCAAGGAGAAAAGCCTCAGAAGAAACCAACCCTGCTAGCACCTTGATCTTAGATTTCTAGACCAGAACTGTGAGAAATAAATTTGTTATTCAAGCCACCCCACCACCACCACCAAAGAAATGATAGCAAACAATATAAAGTGCAGATTATAATGTTTACTCTCAGTTTTGAAAATTTTTATAACAGTAGGAAACATATGGAAAAGTATTTAGAAATATTATTGCATTTTTGGGTAATACAGATTATCCATATACATAGTTCTGTACTAGTCCCTTTTAGCAGCATTCAATTCATGTGAGGTAGTAATGTGTACATACTGTAATTTACCCAACTTCTAGTAATCTCAGTAAACTGTTAGTTAAAGCCATTTTACCTCAGATATTCATTAGCTAACTATATTGGGGCTGCCATGGCCTATCCAAATTTTAAATTCTGCAGTTCTGAGTAGCTATGCAGACAAGATTGAAAACTGTTGGGTCTTCCTTACCACTACTGAGATGAGAAAATGTAAATAAAATAATAGTTTTTCTCTAGAATAAGGGAGTTGGAAAATGCCAATAATTTTAACATTTTGGTGTTAAGTATATATATATATATGTATATAAAAACACATTATCTGGCTTATGTTTCTAAAATGAATCATTTATTAGGCCTTGAAAGAAAAAAGTAGTTATTCCTACTACAGGTAGTGAAATCCATTTTGATCTATTGATCTTCTTTATAGCTCAAATATGAGCATTATTCATACACATCCATTAACTTAGGGGTTACTTAGTAAGATCCAAAACTAAAATAAGATGCAAAGTATACTATTAAAAATCATGACTCACAGAAGCTAGGGCAGGATGACAGGCATGGTAAGTGGAAAATTTAAGTCATGATTTTATTTTATAAGGAAAATTTGATAATAACAGAAAATGTACCTTTTAGTAAATAAAAAGGAGATACCTTTCAATAAAAATCCCTCTATTTAGGTAAATAATTTCTATGATTTCATTCTATCACAGGTAATTCATACAGAACTCTCCTTATGATTTCACTGCATAGATCTTCTCTCATTATTTTAATGACACTTCTGCAGTTTGACTTAAGGGTATAACTTCACATTTATAGAGCACTGTCTATTCATTCATGACTTCATGCCATCCCCCAAAAAAGGTCTTATGGAAACGGTTTCTTTTTTTGAGATAAGGAAAACTATGATCCAGAATTTTCATATTATCTTGCTAGTCACAATTAGACATAGAATTCCCTATTTTATTCAATATATGTTCTTGTTTTTCAACATATACTATTACCTACAACCTGACTTTAGGAAACTGACTCATAGCAGTTGTCAAGAAGAGTCTTAAAAAAGAGAAAGTTCCACACAAGTACTTTCCACACAGTCTTAACTGGGTTACTCTTGAATCCTTCCATGCCTTACAGAAAAAGCAATGAGTCTTCTGTAAACCGCACCCAGGAGTGTGATGGTAAGCACCACCATCCCACACACTAGGCTGAAAGCCCACCGTGGACCCCAGGCAGTGTACACTTGGCTGATGAACACAGGTCCAAGGATCCGTGCTGCACTTCCAGACGCTGTTAACCAGCCCATGTACACACCCTGTGGAGGGAGAAGGACACTCATACTCAGGTGTAGTCCTTTTCTCTTATTGTTTTTAAATTAAATACAAAGTGCCTCTCTCTAAATACCACAAATAATTAATGATAAACTTATTTGATACACTATTTAGGAAAAATAAAAGTAATATAAAAGAACAAACACTGTCTACTGAAATGATTTATAAACTTACCTTTTAAGGCCAACATGTGTTTTGTACTTGCTATTTTCCAAACACTACATTAGGTGCTTTACATATATTATTTCCAATGTTCACAAATTTCTATGATTGGTATTATCCCCAATTAGCAAACAAGGAAGCTAAAGCTCAGAAAATTCAAGTAACTTATCCAAGAGATTTGAAGCCCTGTCTGACTGACTCCGCTGTATTCATTTCCACATCACCACAATGTCACTGCTCCAACTACAATGTCCAAAACTATAGCCCATTCAATCTACACAAGAATGTACAGTGCAGCATTACTTTAAATATCTCCCAATTGTAAATAACCTGTCAAATGTGGATTAAGTAAATAATTTATGGCACATTTAATAAATGGAATGCTAAGCAGTTGCTTAAAAGAATAAGGCCATCCATATACAGAATAAGATAAGGCCATCCATATACAGAATAAGATCTTATAATGAGAATAACATCTATTCGCACTGACACAGAAAGTCATGGTATATTAAAGGGAAAAAAATCCAAAAAGTAGAAAAAAGTTTATATACTTGAGATATAATTCATATTATTTAAAAGGCATGAGGGTGGATATATTTGAAAAGGCATAAAGAAAGTCATGAAGAATACAAATGAAGTAAACTATGAAATGGTTAACTATAGTATGATGGGCTAAGGAGATCCTTCCTTTTCTGCTATATACATTTCAAATTATTTGACTTTTCTTACAACTATCATGTATTGCTTTTGTAACTAATATGCATTTATTCCTGATTTTGAAAATGTGAAAATATAACTTTACAGATTAAAAAAATCCAGAAATTAATAAAATGTTTATTATTATCGTTTAAAAACAGTGATAATGAACTTTCTTTTATCTTTGCTTTATTTAAAGAAAAACACTAATTTCTACCTTGAAAATGTAAAACTATCAGTTTACTTTTTTTTAAAGAGGAAGATACTGTTTTCATTTTGTTGCCATTTAAATAACTGCTTCCCAGGTGGTGCTTGTGGTAAAGAACCTGCCTGCCTATGCAGGAGACATTAAGAGCTGCAAGTTCAGTCCCTGAACCAGAAAAATCCCCTGGAGGACTTGACAACACACTCCAGTATTCTTCCCTGGAGAATCCTATGGACAGAGGAGACTGACAGGCTACACAATCACAGTCGGACATGACTGAAGCGACTTAAGCATGCATGCACTAAAAAGTCAGAAGTAAAATCTGAAATAACCTAAATGTACAATAATAGGAAAATGAGTAAATGATGGTACATACATAAGATGGAATATGTCTCCATTAAAAAATAATTCCCTAAAATTAAATGTCATGGGAGAATATTTACAGCATAATTTTTAAAAAGAGATTACAAAATAGTATCAAAGATATAGTCCTATTTTTGTGTTAGGCACACACACATGGATGAAGACTCCAAGTGGAAGTATATTTCACAAAACCGTTTGTAGTACTTGTCGCTGATACTTTTCTCCATTTTGCTTCTATACTTAGAATCTAATTTTTAAATAATGAATATGGAAATTCTTATAAGAACAAATGCTAAATAACAAAACTGCTGCATACTTTTCAGACTATTGTGTTTTCATCTCTTAATAACTGTCCCTAGGACCACGTGAAATCAACTCTAGATCCAAATTTGGCTATCAATCTTGGTTGGCTAACTGTTGCCTTGTGAAAACAGGATCAGACTTTATTTTTTGGGCTCCAAAATCACTGCAGATAGTGACTGCAGCCATGAAATTAAAAGATGCTTACTCATTGGAAGGAAAGTTATGACCAACCTAGACAGCTTATTAAAAAGCAGAGACATTACTTTGCCAACATAGGTCCGTCTAGTCAAGGTTATGGTTTTTCCAGTAGTCATATATGGATGTGAGAGTTGGATTATGAAGAAAGCTGAGCACCGAAGAACTGATGCTTTTGAACTGTAGTGTTGGAGAGGACTCTTTGAGAGTCCCTTGGACTGAAAGGAAATCCAACCAGTCCATCCTAAAGGAGATCAGTCCTGGGTGTTCACTGGAAGGACTGATGCTGAAGCTGAAACTCCAATACTTTGGCCACCTCATGTGAAGAGTTGACTCACTGGAAAAGACCCTGATGCTGGGAAGGATTGGGGGCAGGAGGAGAAGGGGACGACAGAGGATGAGATAGTTGGATAGCATCACCGACTCGATGGACATGGGTTTGGGTGGACTCCGGGAGTTGGTGGTGGACAGGGAGGCCTGGCGTGCTGCGATTCATGAGGTCGCAGAGAGTCAGACACGACTGAGCAACTGAACTGAACTAAACTGTTGCCTAGTTTAACAATGAGTTTCTGAAAAGTATGCTTCAGGTAATTTTTTCTATGAAAATAACTTAGAGCTCATAATCTGAGTTCAAAACATCCTTAGTTCTAACTTAAGGTACTTTCTGTTAAATTTCAGCTTACAATCTTGTAAGTACTTTATGAAAGCGGTGGGATTTTAAGTTTAAAATGCCGAGTATGATAAAAATCCCCTAAACCAGCTTGTGTAAAAATGAAGAATGGTTGGGGAAAAAAAAAAATGTGAGTGTTTGCAAGTATACATATACCTCACACAACTGCCAACGTCAGAATAACGGACTCACCTGAGGGTTTGGTCCCAGAATTTTCGAATATAATGTATAGGACATAACACTGCAGGATGGATAGCCTATGCCAACTAGCACAGCTGATATGAGGAACTGGGCCAGATGGATCATGGGGGTATACAGGCACCATGCTTGTTCAACGGGGCAACCAGTTGGTTCTTCACTGTGATCTTCTCTTGGAGACTTCCAAAGAGTAATAATTACTTCTCCAAATGTGGTATTAGGGATTGAGTTATTATGTAAATCTATGAAAACAAAATTAGTACAGTATATTACTTGTTAATTTTAGATGAATAACAGGTGCTAACATTATAGAATTATGAATGGCTATACCTTCCCACTGTATTTTGGGAAACTGATTTCCCCAAGGTAACAAGACAAAGAAGCCAACCCATATAATGATGAGTCCTCCCAGTAGAAGAGCACGCTCGCCAATCCTGTTAAAGAACAGAAACTCTGTAATTTAAAAATGAAACAGTGTATTGTAATATATAGTTCCACTACCTTTACATTTTTAAAACTATAAACAACTAATATCTTTAAACTTTAAGTGATATATTAATTAAAACAAATACAAACTACAATTTCCCACTAAGAGGAACTAGGACTCCTCTGAAAACTCGATGATTTCAGGTCTGGGACAAAAGAAGTATTAAGATGAACCTTGACATCTTACCATACCAGAAAGAATATAAATTATCAGTGATAGAGGAATTCCCTGGCAGTCCAGTGGTTAGAGCTCTGCCTTTCTACTGCAGGGGCACAGGATTGAACCCTGGCTGGGGAACTAAGATCCCACATGCTGTGCAGTGCAGCCAAAAAAAGGGCTCAGAGCCAATTTGAGGAAGCTGGCCAAAAACATGACGTGAATACCAAAACGAAAAGTAGTGACAATGACTTGAAACACATGAGAATGTTATAATCTATAAATATATACTATATGCAAATAAAATATTCTTGGTAATTTAGAGGATGTTAGGTAATCCACTCATTATTTTAAAAATCAGTTAATAAAAGGAAGAATTTCTGTCTCTCCTCTAAAAGCTATACCTGAGGATAACCAAATAGTTGGTGATGGAAAGGTTCTCTTCATAGAAAGTATCCTAGCAAATAAATAAAGGAATGAGAGAATTAAAATATCAGCATTTTGCAATGATCTATTAATAAATTAAAGGATTGAGGGAATGGTCAATGGCCACTTATGTCATAAAAAGAGATAAAACCTTACATTTCTTCTGATGTGAGCATATATAGCGGTGTGTGCGTCTGTTAGTTGCTCAGTTTATATACATACAGTGGTGGAGACCTATAAAACATTATTGCCAAAAAACTGAACTCAAATCTCATCAAATTTTGAGAAATAAACACAGGAAAATATTAGAAAAACAAAGAAAGAAACCATAGGGAAATATTAAGCCAGATCCAAAATGTGGAGAAATTATAGGGCAAACATCCTGGTTGCTTCAATTTGTAAGGGAGCAAAAGAGAGATGGAGAGAGATGGAAGAGGTGGAAAAGGAGCTTGTGATTTAAAAGAGATTTAAGAAACAGAAGGGCCTGAGTCAAGTGAGTAAGCTGTAAAATAATATAAAACAAAACAAATTTTTAAAAAATTAAAATAGTGGAGAAAATCTGAATACATGCTGGATACTTGATGATATTTAGAAATCACTGTTAATTTTTTTAGATGTGATAATGTTTCCATCATCAACTTTTAGAGATACATACTGAAATATTTATGGAACACATGAAGTGATGTCTAACATCAGCTTCAAAATAATCCAGGTGTGGAGGATAGGGAGTGTGCAGTAGGTAGAGGTATAGATGAATCAAGATTATCCAAGGTTATAACTGTTGAAGTTGGATAATAGATGTTAGACATTCAGGACATGATTCTTTCTACACCTTTGCATATGTTAGAAATTTTCCATAATAAAATGTGAAATACACAAACAAGTCCAAAGGTTTCTGAAACAAAACAAACCCAACACTTCTCATCACCCTCAGAATACCTACAAGGCTTCATATCTCTCCAACCTGATCTCCTCTCATGTGCCATTTCTCTCATTCTGCTCTAGCCAAAATGGCCTTCCTGCTTGTTCCTTAATCACATGAAGGTCAGTCTTCTGAGGCAAGAGTTCCAGGCCACTGAAATGGCTGTTCTCTGACTTCACTGAAGTCTCAACCTGAATGCAAGTTCAGACTGAGCTGCTTTCCTTGAGGAGCCAATCAAAACACTGCCCATGCCACTTTTCATTCTCTTCCTGTGCTCTATTCTTTATACTACTTATTATGACCTGATTTCATACTTGTGTTTACTGACTTTCCATAGAATACAAGCTCTTGGAAGGTATGAAATTGGATAACCCGTAAGAATATCAGCAGGACACTCTACCTTTGTAGCAAGATATAATGCATCTACTATTATTTAACTGAATATGAATCGATGTGTATGTCTATATCTGTATATTGGCCTCTTTCAGTTCAGTTCAGTTCAGTCACTCAGTCATGTCCGACTCTTTGAGACCCCATGGACTGCAGCATGCCAGGCCTCCCTGTCCTTCACCAACTCCCAGAGTTTACTCAGACTCATGTGCACTGAGTCAGTGATGCCATCCAATTATCTCAACCTCTGTCGTCCCCTTCTCCTCCTGCCCTCAATCTTTCCCAGCACCAGGGTCTTTTCAAATGAGTTAGCTCTTCACATCAGGTGGCCAAAGTATTGGAGTTTCAGCTTCAACATCAGTCCTTCCAGTGAACACTCAGGACTGATCTCCTTTAGGATGGACTGGTTGGATTTCCTTTCAGTCCAAGGGACTCTCAAGAGTCTTCTCAAACATCACAGTCAAAAGCATCAATTCTTCTCCTCTCAGCTTTCTTTATAGACCAACTCTCACATCCACACATGACTACTGGAAAAACTATAGCCTTGACTAGACGGATCTTTGTCGGCAAAGTAATATCTCTGCTTTTTAATAAGCTGTCTAGGTTGGTCATAACTTTTCTTCCAAGGAGTAAGTGTCTTTTAATTTCATGGCTGCAGTCACCATTCTATCAGATCTAGTCCCTTAAATCTATTTCTCACTTCCATTGTATAATTTGGCCTCTTTACTTGGCTCTATAAAGACAGGAATCTTCATAGTATTCCCCATAGCACCCAACCCTATGCACTGATTCAGTATTTGTCAAATGATCTTAGAACTTCATTAAAGTTATATTGTTAAAGTATTCAGGAATAATTAAATTGTGAAAACTGAATTCATCAACTAACATGCCACCACAGACTATATGAATGAACTAAATTTTATACAAGCATTTCCTTACAGTTTACTTTTATAAAATGAGTCTTTTAAAAAGTGTTCTATAATCCATAGAGAACAGACTTATGGACGTAGTGGGGGAAGGAGAGGGTGGGACGGCAAATTGAGAGAGCAGCAGGGAAACATATACATTACTATATGTAAAAGAGATAGCTAATGGGAAGTTGCTATATAACACAGGGAGCTCAACCTGGTGCTCTGTGACAACCTAGAGGGGTGGGATGGGGTGGGAGTTGCAAGCGAGTTGCAAGAGGGAGGAGACATATATAAACCTGTGCCTCTTTCCTGTTGATATATGGCAGAAACCAACACAACATTGTAACACAATTATCCTCCAATTAAAAATAAATTTTAAAAATAAAAAAACTAAAAGTGTTCTATGATCAAAGTTGCAATTAACTTTGAGAAATGCTACATTCTTTATTTGTCATGATGATACAGTATATAAACTGAAGATTTAGAAGTTTTAAAGGAGTTTGATGATTTTAACCATAGTTTTCCAGACTTAACCATTTTTTCTTGTTGTATAACATATGTTACCACATAGAAGAACAATATTTTATGAAATATATTCACAGAAATACTTTAAATAAAATATCATATACAAAAGATACATTAGAAGACAATTATTCACTTTACCAAAGAATATTCTACATGGTATAGAAATATGCTCCTTTAATAAATTTTAAATGTTTGCAAACGTTCAAGGACTCAAACTCATACAATAATAAGAAAAAAGATTGACATTTTACTGATATATTCACTTACATCATTAGCTCTGTTTCATGTTTTATTAAAAAAAAAAAAACAGGTGTGAAATAAAAACAAAGACACATAACTTACTTTTTGGAAAGTAATTTTATCCCCATGAAAATAATAACTGCCTCAACTCCAAGAGCAGCAAGTATTATTCCACCATATAATACAGCTTGTTCTCTGGTCCAGGCATACATATCCATTGTTAATGGTGTTACAATGCTAACAGAAACAAAAAATAAATCATGCTCATTTTATTTAAACCTTAGTCATTGTTAAAGTTGAAATAGTAAGCTTTATTAGATACCAACACATTTACGAATTTGTATCCCTTTTGTCAATGACATCAGATCTACATAAACAAAAATTTTAACACATTTTAAGGACATTTTATTGTAACATAATATCACAGTAACACAGGCTACTAAGTTTGGCTGTTTGCATTTTTTATTTTTTAATAGTTATTATAATTATATAAGTAACATATCCACACTGCAAAAAGTCTGAAAAGGAAAACAAACCAAAATACCTACCATTCTAATATAAGAAGTCACGGTTGCATTTTGGTTTAAATTGGTCTGTTTTCAATGAAATAATATTACTATGATTAAGTTATCAGAAACTTATGGGATTGCTTTTTCTCTTCCTCAGTCTCTTTTATATTTAACTTTGAATGCACATATTATTCTCCCTACATCTAAGGCTACTCTTCCTTTATATGACTTTCCGTCTCCTTCCTTGACAATCTTCTTTTCTGACTTTCTATCTCCTTCTGTTAATTGGCTACAAAAAGAATTTTTAAATATTTAAGATAGTCATTCTTTAAAAAAAAAATTACTTTTTTTTTTTTTCAAAAAAAGAAAGTTTATTTGAGAACAAGAGTGAAAGCTTCTGCAAACATCTGACAAGGTAGACGTGTCTTGATAATAGCCACCATCCATATTTCAGCTCTACCAAAACTGCCACAAATGCGACATATTTTTTTCTAACAAAGATATGGAGGTATGTAAAGGGCTATGACTAAATAGAGTCAAAGGAAAGTTGAGGTCCCATAGCTTATCCCTTAGGCTGATACATGACATAGGACTTAAATCGAACAATCCAGTCTCCTAATGCAGTGGCTCTCAACTTGGCTTCTTATCAGAATGCCAGGGACTCTTGGAAAGAATATCTCCACTATTAGACTATACCCAAGTAAGAGTCTTGGTGGGGCGGGTAGGACCCAAGCACTGGTGGTTATTTATGCATCCCAGGTGATTCCAATGTGCAGCCAAGCACTGGTGGTTATTTATGCAGCCCAGGTGATTCCAATGTGCAGCCAAGGTGGGTGGCCACTGCTCCAGAGGGAGGTAATGACTATCAGCAGGTTCCTTAGCCCATCCGCTCCATTAGGAAGGGGCATCTGCTGGTGTCGTGGCCTCTCGGTGAACCTGTTATTTACTCTGCTCTAGAACTCCAGGCATTACCAGTTTGGGGCAGATTTAGAGCCTTTCCATTTGCCTTAGTGATTTTTACAGCAATATTTAACCAGGCAAAAAACATCAAAGAAAGAAAAGTTTGAAAAAGAAATTTCCGTAAGGCATGATATGAATAAATAAGTGAAAAAAAAAATCTCAGAAAAAAATCACTTTTTTTGGCCACATGGTATGTGGAATTTTAGTTCCCTGACCAGGGTTTGAACCAGCATCCTCTGCATTGGAAGAATGGCATCTTAATCACTGGACCACCAGTAAAGTCCCAGAACATCACCTTATTTTTCTTAACATCATCATTTTTTATTTTAAAATCAGATGAGCTGCTTTAGAAAACAGTTCAATGGTTTTTCAATAAGCTAAACACAGAATTATCATATTATCCAGCTTTTCCACTTCTGGGTATATACCCAAAAGAATTGAAAGCAGGGACTCAGATACTTATATACTAATGTTCATAGTGGCATTCTCTACAATAGGCAAAAGGGGGAAATGACCCAAGTTTCCAATGACAGATGAATGAATAAACAAAACTGGTATACACATAGAATGGAATATTATTCAGTTATTAAAAGTATAAAATTCTGAAACATGCTACAACATGGAAGGACCTTGAAAACATCATGCCAAGTGAAACATGCAAGACAAAATGATAAAGACTGCATGATTCCACTTATATGAAGTATCTAGAATAGGAAAATTCATAGAGAAAGAAAGTAGAATAGAGGCAACCAGGGGCTGGGTGAGAAGGAATGGGGACTTACTGATTAATGGGTGTAGTCATGCTTCTGTTTGGGATGATAAAAAGGTTCCGGGGGTGGGTGGTGGTGATGGCTGCATAACACTGTGAATGTATTCAATGTCACTGAATTGTACAATTAAAAATAATTAAAACAGGGACATGCCTGGTGGTAAAGAATTCACCTGCCAATGCAGGGTTTGGGTTTGATTGCCCTGGTCCAGAAAGATTCCACATGCTGTGTGGCAACTAAACCTGTCACCATATCCACTGGCCGGCACCTTAGAGCCTGTGCTCCACAACAAGAGAAGTCACCACAACGAGAAGCCTACACACCACAACCAAGGAGTGGCTCTTGCTCACTGTACCTAGAGAAAGCCCGCACAGGATCAAAGACCCATTGCAGCAAAAAAAAAAGTAAAATGGTATACCTTAAACAACAAGTACATTACTATATACAAATTTGATCTCAATTAAAAAAAATATAGCAGAAAAGTTCTAAGAATCATAACAGACTAAAAGTTTAATACATGTCCAGTAACATGCGGCTTCCCTGGTGGCTCAGTGGTAAAGAATCAGCCTGTTCAATCCTGGGTTGGGAAAATCCCCCAGAGAAGGAAACGGCAGCCCACTTCAATGTTCATGCCTGGGAAATTGCAAGGACAGAGGAGCCTGGAGGAATAAAGTCCACTACAGTCCACGGGGCCGCAAGAGAGCTGGACATAACCAAGTGACCAAACCACCACCACCATTAACATGGCTCAACATGGGTTGATGGGAAAGAAATATACAAGAGAATAAATTATATCCTTAAAATTGAAAAAAAAAGTTAAAATAAGTTTTATTGATGCTTTCAAACTGTGGTACTGGAGAAGACTCTTGAGAGTCCCTTGGAGAGCAAGCAGATCAAACCAGTCAATCCTAAAGGAAATCAACCTGGAATATGCATTGGAAGAACTGATGTTGAAGCTGAAGCTCTAATACTTTGGCCACCTGATGTGAAAAGCCAACTCACTGGAAAAGACCCTGATGCTGGTAAAGACTGAAGGCAGGAGAAGAGAGAAACAGTAAGAGATGGTTGGATGGCATCATCGATTCAATGGACATGAGTTTCCGCAAACTCCGAGAGATAGTGAAGGACAGGGAAGCCTGGCGTGCTATAGTCCGTGGAGCCTCAGAGAGATGACTGAGTGACTGAACAACAATATTTACCATAATAAAATAAATGCCCACAAAATGAGATGAGGTAAAACTTTCATATATCTCAATAATTTTTTAAAACTCAAGTATATCTGGCATAAAATATACCAGCATAAAGATGTTATAATATATTGGTAAATGAATATACCAAGCTGTCAAATGATACTATCACATATTCTATGTTGGCTTAACAGACACACACATACACACAAACCTCAATACTTACAGGTCTACAGAAAAAATTATTAGGGAAATAAAACATACACTGATGTATTAGCAGTGGCTACCTCCAGGGAAAGTAGTGGATATGGAAATACAGTTGCAGTGTTTGTAATGTTTTTAACAAGAATGTATTATTTTAATAATATAATGGAAAAGTATTTTAAAAATAAAGCCATATGATAACTTGTGAAGGTCAATAAAGCCTACACAAGGCAGTTATACTAGCTTTTTTCAGGATTAGGGCTGAAATAGAGTTAAAATTTCTAGACTGAATCCAATATACATAAGTCGGGAGCTATAGAGCTTAAAGTAAATTAATACAGTTTTATAACTATATTTATCATAAAACTCAAAAGAAAGGAAAAATAGTGAAACAGACTCACTATAAGGCAGTAAGTTTATCGGCAGAGAATTAACTACATTCAAGTTAAATGCAAATAATTTATACTTGCTTTTTTACATCATAAGAAAAATATGCCTTACACAAGGTTTTTGAGAATATCTATAAGCCTGATTAATACTGCATTAAGATATATGGGCTATTTATACAATCTGATTTATAAGAAAATAGAAAAAAACTTACGTTTCAAAAAGGGCAAAGATAAACAGAATCACAAAAAACAGAACACTGGTGGCCACAACAGCAACTTGATCAATATTTCCTTGGGGGACTTGAACTTCATCTGTACTTGCTACAGTAAACAAAAGAAAAATTATATTACTTACATATTTAATTTTCTCATGACACTAAAATAATGTAAAAATTATACATAGTAAATTCAATGACTAAACATTTAAAATGGTTTTTAGGCTTCAAAACAGTTTAAAAGTAACAGAATTTACATGATAGAAAGAATTTTTAAATGGCATTAAAAATTAAAGTGAATTTTCTTTCCAGGACATACACTTCAATTCTGTTATCTACAGGAAATACTGAGATTTTCTATTTGGCATCTCTCAAAAAGAGAACTGTATGTCCATAGAATTCTATAAAATCATCTCATGCAAAGTACATTTCAGTTGCAATTTTTTTTCTACCTTACTGAAATTTTAAATTTACAAGGATTTCATGAAGACCTCAAACAGTTTACTAAATCAGTTCTCAGTTCTATGATTCACTTCAATGGATATATTTTAAATTTCAGTGAATTAGTATTAGTAAATATTGCTGCATTTTTTACCACAATTTTTAAAAGTCCTCACATTACCATTTATATTTTTTGCAAAGAACTACCAAGATTTGATGGCGGTTTCATAAATTAGGAAGGCAAATGAGTTCAGATATTCACTGATCTTGAACTATTAAGCAACAAACTCAACATAAGCTATATCTGATGTAATTGAGAAACATGAAGTTACATACAAGTATTTATATATGTCCATCAGGCTTTTTTATTAATTTACCTACTTACTCAGAGTAAACTAGGTAAATAATACAAGAATGTATTCACTTATGCTACCTTTAAGTATATGCACAGCAGAAGTAGGAGCAGGGGGTGACTTTCCCAAGACATAGCAAATATCTGTAATTTTTTTCATAGTAGTGCCTGCCTTTATATCTCAGGATTCCTGAGAAGGAGTTTCTTCTCCAATAACAGTCTGTTATACTTGTGAGCAATTAAGCACCTTGAACACTCAAGACAGGGTTATAACCTCCCTTTTACACAAAGAAAACCAGTCATCTTTGCCCAGTTTCTTTTCTGGGGTAGATTCTGGTCCCTGTGGGCCTCAAATTATTTGGATAGACCTCCCTGATTCTCAATTACCACCTAAGCCAGTCTTTAATCCTTTGAATCAAACAACAACATTGCCCCAAATTAGACTATAGTTTATTTATGGGTGGTTAGTTTTCCACAGCATCCAACCAGTGCTAGCTTTAGAGACTCGGAAATGATGCATCCTAAAGTGTGGGAATTAACTAGGTATCATAATTATAAGAATTTTAAGAAAACACTACACTAACATATAGATTAAAAAACTGTGTAACTGGAAATTAAAACTGATCCCATGATAACACCTTTAATAAAAGGAACAAACCTGATATATTTCACCTAAACATTTACTGAAATTTAAAAATGATCTTTGTTTTATAAAAATTATTTTGAAGGTCCCAGAAATCTTATGAAACATAATAGATCACTCCTTTTAAAACTCTCATTTGTGTTTCAGAGCAGTGCTGTCCAGCAGAACCCTGACATGATGGAAATATCCTTTCTCTGTGCTGTCCAATACAGTCGGCCACTAGTCACATATACCCATCAACTGAGCACTTGAAATGTGCTAGTGTGGGATTTCCCTGGCAGGCCGGAGGTCAGGACTCAGTGCTTTCATGGTGGTGGCCTGGGTTCAATCCCAGGTTTAATATCCTACAAGTCACAGAGCACTGCAAACAAACAAACACAAACAAAGCAAAATCCGAAATGTAGATAGTGAGATAGTGAAAATAAGAAATTTCTTTTTAAGATTACTCTTCATTATTATTATTTTGGCCTCACTGTGCAGCTTGAGGAATCTTAGTTCCCTGACAAGAATCAAACCCAGGACTCTGGCAGTGAGAGTGCCAAGTCCGACCACGGGACTGCCAGGGAATTCCCAGGAATTTCTTAAATGTAACTAAGTTTAAGCAGTGAAATTTGACCAATGACTACCATGCTGGACAGTGTAGCTGTAGGTCTTTGCTACTCAAAGTGTGGTTCGAAGATCAGCAGCATCAGCTCACATGGTAACTTGTTATGAATGTAGATTCTCCCTACTTAGGCCTCACCCCAGGCCTACTGAAACAGTCTGCGCTCTAACACGGTTCCCAGGTGCTTTCTAAGCATATTAAAGTCAATAAAGCAAGGATCCATATATGGTTATCTCCTTCAACTTGTGAAACATTTTGCTTCTTGTGTATCTTCCCTTTCTCAGCCCCCAACTACACCCTTTTTAACTTGCTCCTTCTCTTTATCTGATAGGTCCTTTAAGCTAGTATCCGATTTTACACCCGTTCCAAAAAGGAGCTTATTCCCACTGCTGGTACTCCTTCACCATGCATTCTTACTTTTGAAAAATTTCAAATGTATTCTTATCCATCTATGCCCTACATTCAATAATATTTTGCCACACTTGATCCATTTATCCCTTCCTTTCCTCCTTTCTCTTTCTCTTTTTTGCTATAGCGGTTTTCACTGGATGACTCCCAAATTTCTATCTCTAGGTTTGATTTTTACCATCAAAATTACAAATGCCTCTGGAATTTTTTAGTTGTTCCTAGCGTAGCATTGTATTTGGCTTGATCCAAACTGAAATCATTTTATCTTTTCAGCCAATGTCCCTTCTTAAATTCTTCTTCTCTCATTCTTTCAACTGTCTGGAATCAAACCCTAGCAGACATCAACAACCTCCTCCATAGCTTAGTATTCCCTATCCAGCCTGTCAAGAATCTTGATTTTCTTTCTTCTTTGAAAGCTCACATCTATCACTTCTCCATTCTCAGTTACTGCTGTAGTTCAGGTCCTCACATATCTGGATTAGCCTCACTTGGAATCTGACTATAGTCATACTTATTCTTTGTTCAAAATTTGCTATAGCTTCTTATCACTCTGCTCTCCACCGAACTACTTTTAACTTTACCTTCCAGCAGTTTTGCTGTGAAAATTAAATAAAATGCCTATCAAACAACTCAGTAAAATAATGCTGTCTTTTCCAAAGCTTTATAAACAGCTTGAGGGCAAGGACTAAACTGCATTCTTTTGCAGGAAGGAAGGGACACTCCCCAAGGAGGGTATAACTAGAAGTACTTAAATAATGGTTTATTTAGTAAACTATACATACTTACCAGACTGGGTACCTATTTATGGGCCAGAGAAAGATGTATACGATGAAAATGTGCATTTGTGGAGTATACCGAAAGAATAAAAATGCAAAAGAGAAACCATACTTACACCAATGATTAAGTGAACAAAGAAATACTTGAATCAGAAAGACACATTTGGTAGCAAAACTACTGAATTCATTCCAAAGATCTCAAGGATTTTAGGATATTGGCTCTTGGAAAACAAGATGAAGTAATTTTTAGCAATTGTTTTACCCTGCCAGCTGTGTGCACCAAATCACTGATACAGGTATGCCTTTATAAAAATAATAAATTAGGTAAATTTCAACCTTGGAGACCTTCCCCAATTACCCATTGTGTTGTCCTCAGAAATAAGATTCAAGTAAATATCAAACAGATAGAATCATTAGAAACACTCTGTAATATTATAGTCATTTAGTCAAACAGGTTAACAGTACCTTCTTCAAAATTAATATTTTTACACTGTCGTCCTGAGTCATCCACACGATGTTCTCTTAAAAGAAAAACATAAATAATGTATCCATGAAAGGCTTAGTATAATAGATGAATGGCTTAAATTTATTACTAGCTTTCTATTTTTTCACATTCTGATAGTTTCTTTTACTGCCTTCTGAGTAATGAAATTATTACGAGATATAACCAATAAAATTAAAATGATATGTTACAATTATTACTTTATTACTTTATCATATAAAATGGAAAAAATACTCAATTAATCTAAGAGCACACATGAGCTACCTTAATCAGTATTTAAAGTTTTCAAATGGTTTTCAACATGAGTTATAAACATCTGTGGACTCTTGGATAAAACACTCCAAAGTAATATATAGTAACAAAACTTCTGTAGTTTTATAAAATTTCTTCTGATATATAAAAGATAAGAAATATGTATTATGAGGAATTTTTGTATCTATGGTTGATACTAATCATTAATCTACTTAAAATGTTGCTTTCATGCTATTACCTTACTTAGAAACCTATAATTAGTACATCAAGACCAAACTCTGAATCTTCAAAGAATTTATAATCTGTTCTTATTCATCATCCATTATTTTAGTTAAGAGTACCACATGCATTCGCTTATTAAAAAATATAAGTACAACAAGAGACATCAAAAACCAAATAAAGACATCACAGAAATAATAATTCTTCAATAATGATAATGCTTATTTAATTTCACAATCTACAAGAGTAGTTTTATCATTTCTATCTAATTACCTTAATACAGTAAGGATCAGAATAATATTTAAAATTCCCAGGAAGGCGCCCAGTAGAACTGGTGCTGTGTACATGTTTATCTGCAGCTTAATGACATCCCACATCACGCCCTTTTCTCCAATAAGTGCAAAACAAGTCTGAAAAACTTATTAAAACAAAATATGTACATGTGAATTATTACATGGGAGGTATAGGATAAAACAAATATAAAGAACATTTACCACGAAATTGGAAATAATGTATGGAATCTCAACAGGGATCTCAAGAAGCAAGAAAATTGGTTCTTGGTGGGGAGAGACAAAAAATTTACTTTTTTTTCTGTATAAAACACAGACAGATATAGTACAAAAAATATATATGATACAGATCTGTGATATTGAAATTTCATCAGATGGAATAATTCAGAGAAAAAAGTCTAAAAAGCCTCCTTTGGGAGACAATGATGTAAAAAATGGGTGAGAAGCACTGATGTAATCAGGAATAATCAAAGGATTATTCCTCACATAACGTGTATCTTCTTTTTTAAAAAAAGATCTCTGTGATGGACAGGGAAGCCTGGAGTGCGGCAGACCACGGGGTTGCAAAGAGTCGGGCACGACTAAGCGACTGAACTGACTGAGGATATTTAAATTATACAGTTTATTCCATAAATAAATTATTAAACTTTAACAAATCTCACTGTAAGAAAATGTCACATTTTAACTTAATATTATTAAATATTACTGTGGATAAACTATTTAAACTATACATTTAATATCATTGTCGATTTGGTTCTGTGGCAAAAATTGGATTGGAAAAGTATTTGTCTACTCTTCTGATTTAGATTCTGTATCTGGTTCTGCCATTACTTACACATAGCCTTAGAGTGAAAATTAAGTAAAATACTGCACCTAAAGCACTTGGAACAGTATCTAGCACATAGTAAGCAGCCAATGGGCTTCCCTGGCGGCTCAGTGGTAAAGAATCCGCCTGCTAATGTCCAATAGAATGGGACATGACTTAGCAACAAAACAGCAACAACAAGAAGCAGCGAATAAATGTTCATGCTTAGTGGTGTGGTTATTACTGAAAAAGTCGTCTCATCTCTTTAGGCTTACATCTGCTCATCTTTAATACAAAATATTTTAGTGAATAATCTTTAAAATGCTTTTTAGATGGTCAAAATATTTATTGAGAATCTGGGCCTATATATCAGGTACTATGCTAGACACTGAAGAGAGAATGGTAAATTTAAAAAGACCCAGACTAAGCCCTCTTGTATTTTATAATATATTTTAAAATAAGATTTCTTCTTATATTTTATTCCAGACACTAAACTGAAATATTAGATTTTGGTGTATGATGAATTAGATTTTCTATTGTTAAAGAGAAGAAATAATGGAAACCAGAAGGGCCTGGGGTGATGATGAAGTAAACTGAGTTGCATTCAAATTTATGCTATTTATAGCTGCAATATTAAAAGCATGGACAAATTATGTCTTTTCAATGCCATATTAAAAACATGGACAAATTATGTCTTTTCAATGTTGTTATAGGCATAAAGTTAATTTCTCTACTCATTGGCAGAAAATTAACTGGTCTTACAGAAACATTAAATCTCATTAACATACTTTTATATGCAGCTAAAGTAAGAAAGCTTGGAAAGAAGAGACTAGTAAATTTTCTTTAAAGGTAAGGACAAAAGGCAAAATGGTAAAGAACTTGCTATAAGTAAATAAGTGTTAGTCAACCAGTCGTGCCCGACTCTTTGCAACCCCATGGACTGCAGCCCACCAGGCTCTTCTGTCCATGAGATTTCCCAGGCAAGAATACTAGAGTGGGTTGCCATTTCCTTCTCCAGAGGATCTTCCCGACCCAGGGATCGAACCCAGGATTTCTGCACTGCAGGCAGATTCTTTACCGACTGAGCTACAAGGGAAGCCCCTATAACTTTCCTCAAATCCTTCAGTTAAAAGAACTCTGTTTCTCATTAACAGGAAAAAAAAAAAAAGCAAACTCTTGCTGAGATGCCAAGCTAAATGATAACATGACAAAACTTACACTTTGGATTCAAAGAGTGAGGTCTGAATCTCATGCCTCCCATTTATCCAGGGTGACCCTGGATAATTTACTTATATTCTCTATGCCTTGGTGTTCTAATCTGTAAAACGGGGACTAATAATACTTAATTTAGTGGAACATGAGTTAACACATATAAGGAGCGTAGCCTCACAGCTGGATTAAAAAATATCATTTCCCTTCCTTTTCCTTCTGCTATGGGGTTTTATGGGCTTCCCTGGCAGCTCAGATGGTAAAGAATCTGCCTACAACCCCAGTGTGATCCCTGGGTTGGGAAGATCTCCTGGAGAAGGGAATGGCTATCCACCCCAGTACTCTCGCCTGGAGAATCCCATGGAAAGAGGACCCTGGGGGGTCTACAGTCCATGGGGTTACGAAGAGTCGGGCACAACTGAGCGACTAACACACACACATAAGGGGTTTTATTCTTGGATTTCATCTAACATTTGAACTTCAAAAGTTTACCTAATTCAAATCTAAGTAATGACAACCTACCTGGACCTAGAATAAAGCCTAATGCTTGACATGCACTTGTGTTTGCCATGGAACTTGTTCTTTCCTGAAGAGAGGTAGCACCAGCAATATATGACCTAATAACAGCTACATTTCCTAAGAAAAGATACAACAATCCAAAAGAAAGTAAAGTAAAAATAAAGAAAATATTTTCCAGTTTATAAAATTCAACTTAATTTGGCTCTATATGGAAGAAATATTAATCTGCAGCATAGTCACTGCTTCTTTATGATTATACAAAGCATTTAGAGTCAATAAATGCATCAGTTAATAGAAAATATTACTTTTACTAAAATGAAAAATCAGTTAAAGATTTGAAAGGGTTAAAAAAAAAACAGCATTACAGGAACCTTAAAATTTTTTTCATCATTAAATACTGAGAAAGAATTGAGTGTATGGAGTACTACTAATTGTTACACACTCGGCATACTTATACTGTAACATAAGAAACAGAAAAAGAAATCCTAACAATTTAACTCAAAAAAACTTGTTGAGCTCTTATGTTGAAAAGACACTGCTGGGGGCTACAGAGTATTTTTAAAAGTGGTCATTTGTCTCTAGTTACACCAAGTTTACTATCTAGTTGGTGATAAAGGATGAAAACAGTGCAAAACAGTACATAAGCAAATGCCAGAGACTTGTTAAAGGATAAGTCTGTTAAGGGGTAGGGTAGCTTAAGAAAGCTTCATGGAAGATGCAGAACTTGAACTGAATCTTGAAGGATGAAGAACCATGGGAACAGAAGAGAGAAACTATAAGTAAAGGCAACATCATTAGAAAAGGCAAAATGATAGGAAAGATATTTGCAATAAGACATCTGTATGTTGAATGAGGTATAGGAGACTGAGAAGAGGTGACCCTAGATGAGAAAGGACCATGAGTGTCAGGATGAATGTAAGTTCAACACAATCAAAAATATATATGCATACATATTACCTGCCCCAAATCCTACCAATCCACGAGCAGCCAACATGTAGTATTTATTATGAGAAGCTGGAACATGGACATATGCATAGAGGCAGTTGGCTGCCACCGAAATGAAAATGGAAACAATAAGAGGTTCTTTTCTTGGTCTGTAATTAGACCACAAACCAAATATAGGTGAAGCTACCATTTGGCCAAGGCTAAATGAAGCAATAATCCAGCCCAAAAAACTTGCATCAGCAGTCTGATCAATCTGTAGAAAAAAGAAATATGCTTTAAGAATTGTTATCCAAGAAAGTAAAGTTAAAAAGCTACATACATTTTTTTCTGACCATTTAACATTTCTTATTAAAACAAATAAAATCAAGAATTCTAACACATAAGTCTTATAACACTACTACTTATAGTAAGGAATTCAAGCTTCTGACATTAACTATATTAACAATTCACTACACAAGGAAAAGTGCTTAAGAAGCTTCATCTTTTAGAATAATTATAAAATTCTGCATCATAAAAAATCTTCTTAAAAAATATTCACATTATATACCTAACAATAGCATCATAAAATTTATGTGCCATTCTTTAATTCTTAAAAATACAATTATTTACCCTTATGCAACTCAATAACCTACAGTTTATTAGCTTTATTATTATTTGTTATGACTGTGAATTTATCTTTTTAAACTGCACACAATAATCAAATTCCAAATAAAATTTATCTCATTAAACTTACTACTAAGTCTTCCTTTCAGCATCAAAAATCCAGGATTCTACCAAAGAGGATTTATATATCATGAATGTTGAGGGAAGAACCAAATGATTAAAACACAGAAAGTACTTTCAGAAAACAGAGAATTCTAGCTTACAAAGGGACTATGGAATAAATCAGAAGATTGTTTTTATACACAGTAGGTTATATAATAATTTAGAAGAGGAAGAACCATTATATACTGGGACATAAGGTTAAACATATGCAGGTTAAATGGTAGAATAATTTAACAAGAAAAACCCTGGGCTTTTTTTCCCCAAAGGTATTTTTAAATAGCTTAAAATGATGATATTTAGGTATATTTTTTGTTTGTACAGATGAGAATAAGATTGAATAAATGTAACAACTTCATGTCATATATATAACAATTTAAAAAGCAATGAAAACTAAACTTTAATATTAGATGTCTAGTAATTTGAAAGCAAAAGGATAACCGTATCTTCTCAGGATATTAATTGATCATAGTCAAGTGTCCATTGCATGGACAGAAGTGAACTGACTCTTGAAGGTGCCTGTAACACTTTCAACAATATCTGCTATTTTAGTTGGATACTATCCTTTACAATGACTGGAAAACTGCAATCTGTTAGAATTCTGCTAGAATTGTAACAGGAAAGTAAAATGGTTTGGAAGATACAGGTTCAGAAAGTTCAGTTCAGTAACTGAACTGTTAGCTGTGCTCCTGTGTGCATCTCCCTCATGGCAATAACAGCATCCTGTTTCCGGTCCTCTGGCCACCTCTGACGATCCCCCTCATATTGTTTTCAGGATAAAATCTAAACTGTTTATTATGAAAAACTAGCTCACTAGCTGGCCACTGTCTCTCCTTTCCAAACTCATCTCTCTGCATGTTTCCTCCCCAGCTACTAACTTCCAGCCACATAGAACTTTTTAAAGTTTCCAAAATGAGTCAAGCTCTTGGCTTCCAGGCCTTTGCACAGGTTTTCTACAGCGCCTTCCACCAGGAATGCCTTTCTAACCTACTCCGTGGCCCTGATCATTCCTTCAGGTGCTCAATTTCTGGAGGGCCTTCCCAATTCAATTCTGATATAACTGATTTTGGAAAATCTTCCAGGATCTCTTTGGTCTGAATTAGCAACATCTCCCTAACCCCCATGTCTGTCTGTCTGTGTATGTCTATCACCCCACCTGCTCACTCCTCTCTCTCTCTCTGCCTGCCTCTCTCCCCCTCTCTAGTTCTCCCCTGTGCATGAGCACACGAGGGCATGCATGCACACACACTTTTTATCTGTAAACTAGTTTGATTTTGCATACTTCAGTGAAAGTCAGATCTGTTAGCTTCTCTTTAAAAACAAAGACAAAGCACAGTACTAATTTCAAAATATTCTTCTCTAAATATGTTAATAATAATGACAAAGTTCTAGAAATCTTAAAGCTTTGCCATGGGAGCTGAGATGTGTTCCAAGACTTCTCAACTATTCGCTGTGCTGTGCTGTGTGTGCTAGCTGTGTCGGACTCTTCGCCACCCTGTGGGCTGTAGCACCCAGGCTCCTCTGTCCGTGGAATCTTCCAGGCAAGAATACTGGAGTGGTTACTATTTCCTACTCCAGGGGATCTTCCCAACCCAGGGAGCAAACCTGCATCTCTTGCGTTTCCTGCATTTGCAGGTGGATTCCTTACCACTATGCCACCTAGAAGCCCCCTCAATTATTTACTTACAGACTATTGCTTATTCATCCAATTAACAGCTATTAAGGCCTTCTCTGTGATAAAACTTGTGTGAGGCAACATGAATACAAATTGAGTAAACAGTTCTCTGCCATCAAGCAGATTCCAAATCAGGTTCTACTCATCTGATCCCAAAAAATCTTGCATTTTTGAATAACTGAGGGGAAAAACCAGCATGCTTTAACTCTTTTTCTGTCAAATAAGGGTAACTTCACAGAGTTGTTATGAGAATTATTCAAGGCAATATATGTAGAGTGCTTAGAGCCATATCTGCATATAGTATGCACTAAATGAATGTTACCTATGGAATAAAAACATTAATATTTCTTATTATTTTATTTTTACTGATGTCAGCTTTATTATTATATTTTATTGTAATTCATGCATGAGTACTCCCACTACGTTCCTGGACCTATAGATAACCCATCATCCCAATTCAAAATCTAGGTTTAAGAATGAGTCTTCCTGGAAATTAAGCACAACTCTGGGCAACACAGCCTAAGGAATCACCCAGCTGATAGCGGTCTATCAGCCATGGTCAGAAGCACAAGTCAGAGATTCACAGTAGTACCAAATTCCTTTCAGACAGATAATTTACTGTTTGGGTTTTTTGGGTTTTTTTTTCTGGCAAGGGGTGGAGGGTGGCCTAGCTTTTTATCTTTCTCAGAGATGAATTTTAAGCTAAGCAATATGTGGTAACATATTATCATAAGAGAGACAGTAACCTCAAATTAATAATGAAAATTTTGATAAACAATAAGAAATTGCTATATAGCACAGGGAACTATATTCAATAGCTTGTAATAATCTATAATTAAAAAGAATATATATGTATATACATATGTATGTCTGTGTGTAACTAAATTACTGAACATCTGAAACACTGTAAATCAACTACACTTCAATAAAATAAATAAAATTAGAAAAAGAATGAAAATTTTTAAGGCAATAGGTAACAGTACTGTAGAGTCAGATATTGGTTTCAGATAGGCTTGATTCTGCCATTTTCTAGCTGTGTGATCTTGGACAAGCTACATAACTTATCTGAGTTTCTTTATCTGTTAAACAGGAGTGATAATAACCACCTCACAGAGTTGTTATGAAAATCAAAAGATAATTTATATGTGTGTGCCTCACACACAGTAAATTATAAATAATTATAATAATTATAATAATTATAATAATATTAATACTATTAATACTATTATGAAATAACTTGAGAAAATTAATTCACAAGATTTTGGGTGAAAATGTTATATTTGTATTGCCAAAGAACTAGCAATATGTTCATGTGACCTCAGTAATTTTTCTTTTGAAGAGATTTCAAGTATTTGCTGAAAGCAATGAATTTCAAAATTCAAAGTATTATGCTGAGTAGATCTAATTGTGCAAATACCTTCCTTTTGAAAATTTTGAGGTTAGACACAGAGACTCTGAAATCAAGAGTTTTGATATACAGAAATACATATTTTAGCACAGAAGATGTTGCTCCAGAATTGTTAAGTATACTACTCTAACTCTAATAATTCTGTCAGTATGTAAAGAGTTTGTAAGTTCATGAGTAATGATTTCATGTAAAATAAAGCTTTAATTAGTTTAAATTAATTTTCAAAATGACAGTGACACTGGGGCACTAAATCAATAAAAAGTAAAATTAGTATTTTTCTTCCTATATTTCTTTTAAAAATAGCATAAGAAATAGAATTTTAAGTTAATAAAATCTAAAGTGAACATAAGATGCCAATAAATTCCTTATGCGTGTTTTTGCATGCTCAGTCACATCTGACTCTTTTTGACCCCATGTACTGTATGTAGCCCACCAGACTCCTCTATGGGATTTTCCCAGCAAGAATACTGGAGCAGGTTGCCATTTCCTCTAGGCGATCTTCTCAACCCAGGAATCAAAACCATGTCTCCTGCATAGCAGGTGGATTCTTTACCACTGAAAAGTATAATTTTTAAATCTTAAACATTCATCACATATGTTTAGTATTTTTGTTGAAGCCATCCAGCCATTCTAACAACCTAGTAGAGAAGTTTGGTACACTCTCTGTAACACAGTTAAAACACTCAATGCTAAGTGTTAATGATAAAGGGATATGAAAGCACAAAGGAAAACCTTCTAATCCACAGTGAGGTGAGGGAGAGTAAGAAAAGGCTTTTCAGAGGGGACACTGGAGCAAAGCCTTGAAAATAGTGGAGAAGAAGGGAGGAAGGGAATGGCAGAAGAAAGGAGCGATGCAGGAAAAAAAATCATTCCAGAAAAAAAGGAGGAAAATGTGCAAAGATCGGAAGGATCTTAGGCTCATCCAGGTACATGTATCTAATAAATTCTGTGACTGAGCATGCAAAAAAAGCAGGCATAAAAAATTTATTGAGATCTTATATTTCATTTTGGATTTTTTTAGTACAGTATAATGTTTAAACTCTAAACAGTCATCAAATATATCTAGTATTTTTGTTGAAGCCCTCCAGCCATTCTAACAACCTACTAGGGAAGTTAGGTAAGCTCTCTGTGACACAGTTACAACATTCAATGACAAGTGTTAACAGTAAAGGGATACAGGAAAACATAGGAAACATAGAAACATAGGAAAACGTTCTAACCCAAAGTGAGGTGAGGGACAGTAGTTTTTATCATTATTAACTTAAAATGCTATTTTCTTATGCTATCTTTAAAAGAAATATAGAAGGAAAGTACTAATTTTATTTTAGTGATTTAGTACCACATTTTCATTACCATTTTGAAAATTAAACTGATTAAAACATTATTTTACATGAAATCAATACTCATGAAACTAAAACTCACTATAGATATAATGTGGGCCAAGGCTCAGGATTTAGGCTGAAACACACATACACACACTGCTGGAGAAAACCAAAATATAAGGAGCAAGTTCATGAAGAAAACTACACAAAATAATTTAAGAATAAAGAGTTAAGGGTAATGGCAGGGAAGCGAAAAGAAAGTTTCAAGAAGCAGAGAAAGGACAACAATGTCAAGCACTACCCAAATGTCACCTCAACTAAGGACTGAAAAGTATCTAGTATTTGGTGAGTATTAAGTCTTTGAAGAACTCATCAAGAGCAGTTTCAGGGTAGCAGAGGAGTTAATCACATTGTAGCAAGTTAAGGAGTGAACAGGAATTAGGAATTAAAAAAGAATTCCTTCAGAAACCTTGACTGAAATATTATTATAGATTAATTATGCTTCCAACTTAAATACTGATTTTTTAATAAATTCATTACTGGAATTTTAAGATAAAACTGACAGTTATATGTCAAATATATATATTTTTTAAGGTAGAACTGACAGGACTTGATGATCAATTGATGTCAGCGTACCCACCAGATTTTCACCTTCTTTACACTCTTTCCTTCCCATCTAGTAACCACAGTATCAAAATATGTATATTGTCTATTCATTTCACAATGTCACCTGACAACCCAAATTAATTCTATCGGAAAGCATGAAATGTGTACATTTTAGGAATTCAGACTATGTCTAACCTAGTTTCCTTTTTATCAGGGAAGGGGTATGAAGAGGATGGGAAAATGGCTAGTAAGGATGTGACCATGTATCTAAGGGCTTCCCAGGTGGCTCAGGGGTAAAGAATCTGCCTGCAATCAGGAGATGCAGGAGACGAGGATTCAATCCCTGGGTCAGGAAGATCTCCCCAAAGGAGGGCATGGCAACCCACTCCAGTATAATTGCCTGGAGAATCCCAAGGACAGGGGAGCCTGGATGGCTGTGGTTCATGGGGTTGCATGACATGACTGAAGTGACCGAGAACAGGCACACACATGCCATATATCTATATGTGCCAAGGACTGCTGGGTATAACCCTATATTCTGCTATAATACTCTTCTCACTTCAAGAGTGTTCTGGTGTGCACAATAAAGCATATGGTCACCTTACTTATAGCCCTCTTTAGGGGACTTATTCTCATGTTATTCTAGCAAAGATTAAATCAGAATACTACAGAGACTCTCTAGAAAACTACTAAGAGTTATTACTTACAGTTACTTAAGAGAAGCATGAAGTGTACAAACCTTTTGGAGATACGGCCATATTGACATTATCACAATAGAAAATCCTGTGAAGAGGCAAATTCTGTTATTTATATTTATAATTTCATCACTACAGATATAATTTTTTGAATATGAATTTTAAATCATTCTGAATTTACAAATTTATTACCACAAATGTTTAATTTATCAAGCAATGGGATTTTATTTACCAGAAGAAAAATAAATACTTAAGACTTGAAAAAATATATATAATTATAGTCCCTCACTATAATTATCACAATAAAAGCAGAGGACCTATTTCTCCTTATTCACATGTTTTTATTGTAGATGAAAATTACTGAAAGCTTTGTTAAGCATTTACAGCAAAAATGAATGGATGAAAGGTTACTTTGTTATAGAGGAATGCTAAACCTGTCATCTATTTGAGAGAAATAATTGACTGTAGGGAGGACTACGAAGAAGGAAAATGACCTTTAAGGGGACAGTGGCTAAGAACCAGGATTCCTTAAGATGCGCATACCTTAAAAGAAAACTGTCTCTGCTAGCTTTTATTGCTTGATAACTGTAATGATTATCATTGGGCTTCCCAGAGGGTGCTACTGGTAAAGAACCTGCCTGTCAATGCAGCAGACATAAGAGACCCGGGTTTGATCCCTGGGTCGGGAAGATCCCCTGGAGGAGGGCATGGAAACTCACTCCAGTATTCTTGCCTGGAGAATTCCATGGACAGAGGAGCCTGGCAGGCTACAATCCATGGGGTGGCAAAGAGTCGGACACGACTGAAACGACCTAACACACAAACAACTGTAATGATTAACTCCAATATTATCTGTCGATTTTAAATATTAGGCACATCCAATCAAAATCATACCAAAGCTATTTTTTAAAAAGTTGTATGAAGATATAATTCACATAGAATTCACCCATTTAAAGTGTATGATTCAATGGTTTTTAGTATTCCAAATATATGCAACCATCACTATAGTCAATTTTAGAATACCATAGTCACTTCAAAAAGAAACCCTGGACCCTTTAGCTATCCTCTGCTACCCTCCATCCTCTCCCCTACAGCCATAAGCAACCCAGAAATCTACTTTCTGTCTCTATAGGTTTTCCTTTCCTGGGTTTTCATATGAATAGAATCATATAGTATGTGTTTTTTACGTCTGGCTTCTTTCTTTGATAATACTTTCAAGGTTCATCAATGTTGTAGCAGTGTCAGTACTTCTTTCCTTTTTTAAAAGCCTGGTTTATTTTTTATTTATTATTAAGTGGAGGATAATTGCTTTACAATATTGCACTGGTTTCTGCCATATATCACCATGAATCAGCCATAGGTATACGTACATCCACTTCCTTGTGAACCTCCCTCCCACCTCCCATTTCATCCCACTCCTCTAGGTTGTCACAGAGCACCAGATTTGAGAAAAGTCTGACTTAAAAAATAATTTAATTATTAGTTTCATTTTATTTTCATAGTATTTTGAATTAACACAATGACTTCGATGAAAACAGGGTTGAAAGAGTCAACACATATTTGAAAACAAGACTATTACTGCACAATCAAGAAACTTGTAAACAGGTAAAATGTTTAACATGCCAATTAAAATCTAAAGTTAAAATTTTTTTTGCTGTTCAATTTGAAATTATTACTTATGCTTTAGATAATTGAGCACTAAAAAATCATAAGTGTTTTAAATGAAAAACAACTGTTGCAGAGCTTGCTACCTAAACAACATTCATTTGCTCTCCCACTTCCTGATAGAATCCTGGTTGTATTCAAGTATTTATCACTCCTTCACAAAGTCACAGACTTCAGAGGACACTGTGTCCACCCCAAATTCCAGAGGGTCAATCCTGAGGTTCCAATATTCTAGCTGATGATGGGTTTAGAAGTTAACAGGTAACCCTGTTCTGATCGGTGAGAAATGAGGGGAAGTCCACTTTGGGACCTCCAGGAAAGGATGCCTCATCTCTTCGGAGGGTAAAAAAATAAGTCTCTTTCAGTCAGTAAAAATTGCTGTGAAAGGACTGACACCTGGAAGTGCTGCTGCACCCTTGCTGTCGCCTAAGGATGAAGGCAATATGCAGAAGACAGCAAAACCAAACACTTATTCAGAAGCAGAGCCAGGGAAGGTCACCTGGAGTTGTTCCCCTGTGGACATCTTATAAGAAAACATCACTGTTCAAGCCAATTTTTTGTTTGTTTGCTTTCTTAAGGATTTTATTGACAGAAAAAACAAAGAAAAAATTGCCATTATAAATTAAAGTGATCAGATTTGATGTCCTGCATTTACTGGTCATCATTGTCAGGTCATTAACAAACTTGTTCAAGCCTATTTGAATCAACATTTTTTTTCCTGATATTTGTAGAGAGCATAATAATATTCAATCCAAATATCCTTTGTTTTGTACTTTTCTTTAGTTTTAGCTTTATTTAAAATCTGTTTTTCCTCAATGTTGAATCATAAAGAAGACTGGCAAGTGAGAGAGAACAAGAGAGTGACCTGGGATTAAAAGAAAGGATATGGAAAACAATTTAGTCAAATGACCACTAAATCCATCTCGGTGAAAGAAACCATTTGTAAAATTAGTGCCTATGGACTTAAGAGGGTCCAAGCTTGGAAATAAAGAATTAATTCCCTAAAACATTCCTTTAGAAACTATCACAGTATTAAGAAATACTATATATATATAGTATTTGAGAAAAAACATGTATATTCCTTATCATTTTAACACAATTACAGTTCTTAATTTTTTTCCTAATAAAGATTAACTTTTTAGTCAATATATTTTCAGAAATAATGTTAATAGGTTAAAATGCATCAAGCTATATAAATTAAGATTTTTGCACTTCACTCAAGCTTCCATTGTGGCTCAGCCAGTAAAGAATCCATCTGCAATGTAGGAGACCTGGGTTCAATCCTTGGATTGGGAAGATCCCCTGGAGAAGGGAAAGGCTACCCACTCCAGTATTCTGGTCTGAAGAATTCCATGGACTGTGTAGTGCACGGGGTTGCGAAGAGTCGGACATGCCTGAGCACTTTACTATTTGTATGTATCAATATAAAAGGTTTTTTTTAATTTTTATTAGTTGGAGGCTAATTACTTTACAATATTGTAGTGGTTTTTGCCATACATTGACATGAATCAGCCAATATAAAAGTTAAATGAGGTTCACAGGCCACAAAAGAAAAAAACAGATTTGCTGAACTACATCAAAATTTAAAACTTCTGTGAACAAAGAGCACAATCATTAGAGTGAAAAAAAAAAGTCCTGGAATGGTAGAAAATATTTACAAATCATATATCTGATCTGGGGTTATATTCAGAACATACAAAGAACTCTACATCTCAATAAAAACAAAACAACAAAAACATTATTTTTTTAAAAAAATGGGGAAAGGACTTGAACAGACATTTCTTCAAAGATCATATATAGATGGCCAATACACACGTGAAAAGATGCCCAGTGTAAGTAATCATCAAGGAAATGCAAATCAAAATCACAATAAGCTACCATCTCATGTCCATTAGAATGACTTGCTGCTATTTAGTTGCTAAGTTGTGCAGATTCTTATGCAACCCCATGGACTGTAGCCCAGCAGGCTCCTCTGTCCATGGGATTTCCCAGGCAAGAATACTGGAGTGGGTTGCTATTTCCTCTCCCAGGGGATCTTCCCTATCCAAGGATTGAACCTGCGTCTCCTACATTGGCAGGTGGGTTCTTTACCACTGAGCCACTTCGGAAGCCTCATTAGAATGACTATCTATTAAATAAACATAACAGTTAGTGAAGATGCGGAAAAATTTGGACCCTGACTGTCAATGGGAATGTAAAATGCAGCAGCAGCTATGGAAAGAAGTATAGCAGTTCCTCAAAAAATTAAAAATAGATTTATCATATGACATAGAAATTCCACTTCTGGGTATATACCCAAAAGAACTGAAAGCAGGATGTTAATGAGATGTTTGCACACTCATGTTCACAGCAGCTATTTCTAAGAAACAAGACATTGAATTAACTCAAATGTTCATCAACAAATAAATGAATAAACAAAATGTGGTGTATACTGAAGCGGATCGACACATGCTATTTCAAAACATGCTGCTTTAGCACAGTGATTATTTTGAGCTGAAAGCAACTGGAGACACAGTAGGGCTCTCTGCCCTCCCCATTTCTGCCTAAAAACAGGGCATAAATTTCCCCTGAGAAATGTACTCATCTAGTACCAGGAAGAAGAAAACATTCTTATCACTGGAGATGAGGCATAGGTGCTGAGATAAGCCTGTTACAAGCAAACCTTACAATACCACCTGCATCCTCCATTAGTGTTTCGAATGTATCTCCAAGTCACTTTCGCACAATTACCATCCCAAAAGCCCAACCCCTTTCCTTTGTCTATAGTCAGTTCTCCCCAGTTACAGCCCTTTATTAAAACAGTATGTAACCTCCTGAATGTTTCTTTGGGGCTTTCACGTGTTTTCTATGAAGCCCCCTGTGAAACATAAAAAATATTAACATCAACTAAATTTTTATGATCTTCTCCTGTTGATCTGCCTTTTGTCAGTTTAATTCGCAGGCCCCAGCTGTAAATACCAAGAAAATAAAGGAAAAATTATACCTCTCCTACAATTTATATAACAGACTATTAGCGTTAAAAAAGAAGGAAATACTAACACATGCCACAGCACAGATGAACCTTAAGGATGTAATACTAAATGAAATAAATCAGTCACAAAATAAAATACTGTATGATTCCATTTATGTGAAGTATCTAGAGTACTCAAATTCATAGAAACAGAAAGCAAAGTGATGATTAACAGGGGTTGATGAGGAAGGGGAAATGAGTCATTGTTTAATTGGTACAGAGTTTCAGTTTTACAAGACACAAAAGTTCTGGAGACTGGTTACTACCATCTAGATACATTTAACATTCTGACCTTAGAAATGGTTAAGATGGTACATGTGATGTTATATAGGTTTTACCACAATAAAATAATAATTTTTAATTAAATGACATTCAAATGTGGTGTTTTATCTAAATTTTTTAAATTACTTAAAATTTAATACTTACCTACACTGCTAAGAAACATAGTAAGATACAGAATCCTAATAGATCTCCATCGGCTCTTAAAATGCTCCTCAGTTTCTATAATATCCCATTCTCTAAATGTAAAGAAGAAAAAAAGTAGTATACAGTTAGCTCATTACATGCAAATCTTTCTGTGGCACAATTTTATTTCCTCTCTCCTAAAGTCATGAAAATTATATGACAGAGGTCTAATTTATCAATAATGGTTTTTACTATATTAATTCATCTATAAATAAGTACTACATATTTTAATTTCCATGGATGTATTTATATATCATTGTGCATAGAAACTAGGGGAGACATGAGGTAGCTGAAACAAGCAAAATATTTTGTGAACCAATTATTTTGCTATTGTTGGCATGCTACAAAACTTATGAACAAAAGTGCTGAAATTTGCTAAACTGACAAAATGAATAAAGTATATAAAAATAAACTAGTCACTTCAATCTTCTACAGGTGGGACAAATAACTATAACTATTAAAAGATAATAATGGGGGCTCCCCTGGTGGCTCAGTGGTAAAGAATTCACCTGCCAAAGCAGGAGACACGGTTTCAGTCCCTGGTTCCAGAAGACCCCACATACTGTGGAGCAACTAAGCCCATGCTCCCTCGAGAGCCCGGGAGCCACAGCTCCTGAGCCCAGCTGCCCCAACTGCTGAAGCCTGCACCCCCTGCAGCTGGTACCAGAGAAGTCACCAAAATGAGAAGTCTGCGCAGGGCAATTAGAGAGCAGACCTCACTCACTGCAACTAGAGAAAAGCTCAAGCAGCAATGATGACCTAGTACAGCCAAAAATAAATTTTTAATTAAAAAAAAAGATAGTAACTGTCATCATGATGACATGCTCTACTTGATGACATCAAATTAACTTTGCTGTAGGAAACTATTTTGGCTGGATACTTGAAGCAAAATTAATATAAGTGACACCAAGAAGGTTTGATGTGACTTAAGACATTCCTAGCTCTGAGACCTCCTGAAACACTTGCCTTTGCTCCAACAAGAGTTACCAGACAAGTTCTGTTAATGGACCAAAGAGAGACCAAGGCCCCTCCAGGCTGGGCTAAGTTTTCATATAAGCCTGTGACCTGGATTAAGGGTAAGTATATTAATCATACAGACTACCTTTGTCAGGTGATACATTAGTGTGTGTGCTCCTTACATTTTCACATATACATACGAAAAGAGTTAACAAATTTACCTTAATACGAGCATTATGTTTTCAAAGAATTAAGACAAACATAACAGAAAATGACTTCTTACGTTCCATTTATCAGCAAAATATACACCATTCAATCCCATATATGGAATTCTGGTATATCTTTAAAGTACTGGGTTACTACTATAATTTTAATGAACTCATTTTTATTTTCTGAAGAACAGAAATCTAATTGACAACCGTAAATAAAAGTATACTAAAATAAGCCTAAATATTTTCAAATAATCTGCTCAGATGCTATCTAAGTCATAGAAAGAACCAAGAGAAGAAAACTATTTGATTCTGAAAAAAATGTAATAAAATTTTTTGAGTAACTTTGACTTAAAGGTCAGTCAAAAGTCTTTCTTCTTTCAATGACAGCTATCAAATATTAAAGGGAAGATAGAAAATCACCATTTACTCTCCATGTAACAACGGATGAAAGCAAAGAGCATCAGCAAATCCAAAAATAACTGGTTGGAAGGTCATATAGCCTCAAAGTATTACTTGTCCGGTGACTTACTAGTCAGAAAATGGAACATGAGCCTTAATAATTTGAGAGATATACCAGTCACCCTCTTAACCACGTAGTCAAGCTTGGCATTCCCAACAGTGGGATAGCCTGGCATCCACTGCCCCCTGACATACTGGGATGTTCTCAACATAAGCCATGGGTGTTCTTGCCAGAAATGTTTGACCAGGACCTACTCAGGAATAGTCCACAAATCCAGAATGTGAGATGTTCCAAAGAAAACAGAAAACTAACCTAGACTTGCCAGAGGACTCAACGTTGGGAAGAACAGAAACAGAAGGTCAGGGGACAGTTTTAGGATGGCAGAGTCTAAAAAGACCCAAGGGTCGAAATCTGAACAGTACTTAGATATGATTTAAGAAATAATAGCTATAAAGTATATTTCTGGAACAAGTGGAAAAATATAAGTACAGTGTATATACTTTGAATTAACAGTGTATTTCTAGCTGTGGTAACAGTGATAAACAGCTATGTAAAAGAATGAATTTGTTTGGGGGAGATGTAGGCTGAAGACTATAATATTTAGGATAAAGTGACATAACATTTGCAACCTACTTTGGAGTTTGGCAAGAGGTGTGTGTGGGTGTGGGGGGGGTGTGTGTGTGTATGTGTGTAGAAAGATTTGAACAGTGTGGAAAAGGCTAACAGTGACTGGGTAATTAGATATTTATTACACTGTTTTGTGTGCGTGTGTGTAGAAAGAGAGATTTGAATAGTGTGGAAAAGGCTAACAGTGACTGGGTAATCAGATATTTATTACACTGTATTGTCCATTTTTCTTAATTTAAAATGCTTCAAAACAAATATTTTACTTTCCTTCTTTTCAATTCAAAAAATAAAACTTTGGTGAAGAAATGGATCTTTCTTACTTGTTGGAAATAGTAGGAATATAGGAGAATATAACTGTCCTTCAATTGAGTTATCATTTTTACTACATTTTCTTAACCTTGATGATTCAACCAACCCTGTCACATGACTGAGAGTAACTTCCCAAAAGCTTCTTTCTTGTATCACTAATGCAGAAGAAAAAATTCTGCACTTTCAAGGTGACTTAACATTTTGGTTCCTTTCTATTATCATTGCTGTATTCTGGTATTAGTTCTCCACTTGAGACTCTCCTTCAAGTAAAATTGCAGTGCTAAGGGTTTTGTCCTGTCCAATATTTTCATTTCAAACTATACCTCAAACGATAGCATGCTTATCAAAGTTGTGATTTAAACAATGAGGAATATACAACATACTGGAGTAAACTGATAACCAAACTTAGCTAGATAAAATTCAACAGGAATAAGTAAAAGGAACCATATTTAGGTTCAACAGATCAAGATCTAACAGAAGGATTCTTGAGTTAGCAGCCATATTTTACTTACCAAAAAAAAAAAAAGACTGGATTTCCTGAGGGAAAAAATAAAATCGTACCTTTACCAGAGAGCATCTGTGAACTCCTGAAGAGCAAAAAAGAACCCACACTGAAAGAGGATAAGAGAAAGGAGTGTGTGGTCACTGGTAGAATACTGTAATGATATAAAGTTATAGAAATTAAAAGACAAATAAATTGAGAATGTTTCATAAGGATCTTCTATACAACCATGAGTGCTAGTAATATCTGTTTTACAGAGATTAGGCTGAAGTTGCAAAGAAAAATTTTAAGCACCTGTAAGACTTTAGGATATTCTAAGAGAGGGATCAGCAAACTACTGTCTATATAGGCCAAATCTGCTCTACCACCTCTTTCTGTGTGGTCTGTGACCTAAGAATAGTTTTTACAGATGAATACTTGTGATTAATTCCACAACAGAAAACATTAACTTTGAACTTCAATTAAACAAAATGCCACCCTCACAAGAATTCTATTCATCTCACTATTAGACCTGTATTATAAAAAATTGTACTTTTACTGTTAAATTTTTAATTTCATTACTGCAAAAATTTTGTGGAAGCTTACTTTCTTGTTATCTAAGTATGTATATAATAAGTTTGATTTTGCCTCCTGGCCTGCAAAGCCTACATAATTTACCATATGGGGCTTTACAGGAAAAGTTTACCAACCCCTGCGCTCTTAAACTCTATGGATAGGGTCAGTGGGGATCACTAAGGTCTCACCAGATCAGTAAATCAGAATCAGCCTTCTTAGTGATGAAAGGTTGGTAGTGAAATTGATTTATGTTTTTGCAATTTATTCAAAGAGAACAGGGCTTACTAACTAGTGTTACATCTGTTCCTTTTACTAGGGAAACTATGTTTTTAAAGACAGTCAACTTACTGAATTATTTTCAAAATACTCCCTTTTTATTTATAAAAATGATAAATTTAAATTCAGATGGACAGACTATCTGAATTTAAATGGAACCTAAGGAGCATCAGACTGGTTCAAAATAGGCAAAAGAGTACATCAAGGCTGTATGTTGTCACCCTGCTTATTTAACTTACATGCAGAATACATCATGTGAAATGCTGGGCTGGATGAAGCACAAGCTGGAATCAAGACTGCCAGGAGAAATATCAATAACCTCAGATATCACCTTTATGGCAGAAAGTGAAGAGGACCTAAAGAGTCTCTTGATGAAGGTTAAAGAGGAGAGTGAAAAAGATGGCTTACAACTCAACATTCAAAAAACAAAGATCATAGCATACAGTTCCACCACTTCATGGCAAACAGATGGGGTAACAATGGAAACAATGACAGAGACTTTTATTTTCTTGGGCTTCAAAATCACTGCAGATGGTGACTGCAGCCATGAAATTAAAAGACACTTGCTTCTTGGAAGAAAAGCTATGACCAACCTAGACAGTTCATTTAAAAACCAGAGACATTACTTTGCCAACAAAGGTCCATCTAATCAAAGCTACGGTTTTCCCAGTAGTCAGGTACAGATGTGAGAGTTGGACCATAAAGGCTGAGCACCAAAGAATTGACGCTTTCAAACTGTGGTGCTGGAGAAGACTCTTCAGAATCCCTTGGACTGCAAGGAGATCAAACCAATCAATCCTAAAGAAAACCAATCCTGAACATTCATTGAAAGGACTGATGCTGAAGCTGAAACTCCAATACTTTGGCCACCTGAAGCGAAGAGCCAACTCATTGGAAAAGACCTTGATGCTGGGAAAGACTGAAGGCAGGAGGAGAAGAGGAAAATAGAAGACCGAATGATTGGATGGCATCACCAACTCAATGGACATGAGTTTGAATAAACACCAGGAGATGGTGAAGGACTGGGAAGCCAGGCACGCTGCAGTCCATTGGATCGCAAAGAGACGGACATGACTGAGTGATGGAACAACCACAACAATGGCACCAATTACTTGGACAAAATTGAAGCTAAGAAGTAAGGGGGGCAGGGGGCGGAATTCCCTTCCTAAAGTAGGTTTATTTTGTGGCTCAGATGGTAAGGAATCTGCCTGCAAGGCAGGAGACCCACATTTGATCCATGGGTCAGGAAGATTCTCCTGGAGAAGGGAATGGCTACCCAATCCAGTACTCTTGCCTGGAGAATTCCATGGACAGAGAAGTCTGACTGGCTACAGTCCATGGGGTCACAAAGAGTCTGACACGACTGAGTAACTAACCTTTATTTGGACAAAGTGACAGAATGTACCATAAGACTACATCTAACCATAATTCAAGGATCCTTGACTCCACGTGGAAAACCACCAAGGACTAGGAAGAAGCAAAAACAATGCTAAGAAATCTAAAAGTCACAAAGTCCATGCACTTGATTAGTAGAAGAGATCTTTAGTTTTCAGTCAGAGCTTCTGTATTCTAACTACCCACAATTCTATGAAGCTTACATATATGATTTTCAAAGCCACAGCAAGCTAGAAATCCCAAAGTTGGGGGAAGAGAGGTTTGCTGACACCGACAAAAACAGAGGTTGCCAACAGGTAACAAAAAAGAGGAGAAATAGTTTGCCAGAAACAGAACAGGCAGGAGAAAGGAAAAAAAAAAAGATGTGAAAAGTATGGCACTGTAGAACAAATTAGTATAGAAGCACAAAGGCACAAATGCTTCATTAAGCCCAGAGGACGTCACTCTATTACACTATACTTCAGAAGTAATGTTCATTTTAATAATCTCAAATAAAAACTAAAAAAATTACATTTCATATATTCTGTTTAGTGCATCGGGGATTCGACAAACACATTTTCCACAGGCTTCCAAACGAAGTGATTTTTAAAAAAGGTCTGGTACTTAAGAGGGACAAAAGAGAGAAAATTAACACGTCTGTGGACAGCTGAAGCTTACCTGTGAACTTACTGGTTAACTTACTGTGATAATGATATATGTATAAAATAAAATGATACTGAACTTCGTATTCCTAAAGGTGAAAATACGTATTTGATTGCGTAGTAAGAAACAAACAATTCTAAAGCATAGTCCATAAACTAGAGTCAAAATACACCTCATCGCCTAATTGCTTAAAAATTAGTTATTACTTACACATTTGGCATAGGACAAAGATGAGTTCATCTTAGGTTTACTTGCAAAAAAGTATCATTATCAGGCAATTAGTCAAGTGACTATTAAGACCAAATATCGATTAAAACAGCGTGAAACATATACAGTGGTCGGTTCTGTAAAGGGCCAAACCCAGAAAGCAGTGACTTGGTCGCTGCATCACCAACGGAGCGAAAGTACAAGAGGCAGTTTGCATTTCTGTAACACCTTCACCAGAACCCGCCGGCTCAAAGGTGCTCCACGGCTCGACGCCCTTTCTAGGAAGTGGCAGCGCATCTTCCAATCTCGCGCGACTTGCCGCCGGCTCCAGCCGCTCTGGCACCCCTTATTCTGCCCACTAAGCCTGACGCAGGGAAAGGCGCCAGTTCCAACAGCGCAGGAGAGAGTACGCGGAGCCTTCCCCCAACATCCGCTCACCTGCTTCCGGGTGTCGTGTCCCCTAAGAGCGGCTCCTGCTCAGAGTCGACCCCTAAACTCGCCATCGTTACAGCTCCCACAAGGCTTGGGGCCAACTCTCGCGACACCTCCTGCTCCCTCCCTTCCAAGACGTCCTGAAGCTGTCAAAACAGGCCGCGTGCGCGTGCACGCCAGGCGACCAGAGAGGGCGGAGCGCCCCCGGGTCAGAGGCGGGCTCACGCAGGCGGCGGGGCGGTGCCGAGCGGATGATGGGGGTTAAGGGCGGAGCTTTAAGTCCTCATCCTCCGCTCGGGTCCGAGCCTCTCCGCCTCCAGGGAGGGTTGGGGGCGTGTCCAAACAGCCACTCTGCCCAGAATTCATCCTCCTCCCTATACGGCTCTGTAGTCTACCTCTCACTTCTCTGTTCCTGGGGAGACTGTTGTCGCTGTGTTTGGGCCTCAGAAGGACGGCGAGTCCCAGGAGCCTAGGGAGCCGTGGCGCTGGGAGTCTCAGCCAGCTGGACAGCAGGCGTCCGCCAAGCGGCCACTGAGTAAGTAGCTGTTCCAGGCCGCGCTTCCCAGACCTCTTGCAGCGCTTGCCTACGTGCCAGGAGGCAGGTACTGAGAGCGCGAGGCTTGGCGGGAGACTCGGGGGTCCCGGCCGGAGTGAGGTGGGCTGGCGGGCTGTCCCTCCGCCTGTGGAAGGTGGAAGTGTCTACGTGCCGTGGTTTTCTTTGCTCGGCTGACTGCAAAGGCACCTTATCCGTACTGCCTTATTAGGATCTAGGATGGAGATGAGGTCCAGCTGCTCCTCAGATTCGAACCCTTTGCAGCCTGCGTGGACTGGGGGCTTCAGCCGTGCAAGAGGTCACTCAGCAGAGTCGGCTGCTGTAACCTGGGGGTTAGAAAAGACACAGCACCAGTTTGACAATGACCAGCTCTTTTCATCACAAGGAATATGACAATTTTAAGAAGTATGTTGTGGGGTATTTTTGTTTGTTTCAGTAGATCATGGTGCTATTTCTTTCCATGTTAACACCTTACCCCTACAAGCAGGCTTGTAAGGTAATTGGTAGCAGTAGTCGTGTGTGTCACAATTACTGTGTTATTAGCACTAGATACATTCTTATGTGATTTCATCTGATCACAACAGTCCTATGAGATAGGTAAAGCAGACACATTTCTACTTTACAGAGAACTAAGGTCTAGAGAAGTTAATAACTTACCCAGAATCACTCACTGTGAAAGTGGCAGAGTTGGGACCCAGATTCAATTCTTTTGATCAATATTTATGAACACTTCTCCTGTGCCAGACCCTATACTAGTTAATATACCATCACTTCTGATCTTTGTCTTGTTTGTGACCTTGTGTGTATCCTGTTAGACACATTCCACTGGTAAACAACTAAACTTAAAATGTGTTTATTAGTTCAGGGTTATCTTCTGAATCCAGACCTGACACTGTACTGGATTCAGTCTTGCAGATTCGTTTGTAACAGTTTACAAAAACATATCAGATTTCTATGACTGGTTCCAAGAAAGTACATGGGTAAAATTAGTATTTTTTGTCATGATGTTGCTTTAATATATCTTTGACTTCTTTTTTAATCTCTGGAGTCTAGCACAGTGTATGGCATATATGTATATGGCATATAGACATACATATATATATTTTTACAAAGGAATTTTTAGCCAATATTGAACCTAGCAGAATGGTTACTAAATAATATATGTTGAATGAATACTTACTGAATTGATTCATTTCATCCCTTCAAGAATCCTCGGAAGTGGAATTGTCTCGAACATACAAGGAAATTGAAAGTATGGAGATTAAGTAATATGCTTAGGGTCACACCTCTAGTTAGCAATAGAACTAGAATCTAAGAAACACAGGACTCTTGACTATAAAGCCTGTGCATTTCAGCACCAGCCTTCCTATGGAAAAAATGTAAAGAAGAATCTTTTCCCATATCTCTCAAAATATTTCAAAATAGATTATCAATTTCTATAAAAATGAAATAATTTGCTATTATGTATTAGGCCAGCTATTATTCCCCTTTTATAGTTTAAGGTGGCTTACTCAAGGTCACGCTGCTAGTGGAGGAACCCAGGTCTTCTGACACGGCTGTTTTCCATTGTTGCCTCCAAGTGATGACTTTAGATGGCAGAAGTACATGGAATGAGTACACATACAACTGATGAAATGTAAATAAGCTCTATGTATTGTACCAATTAAAAGAAAAAGAAAAAAAAAAACAAATCATTTCTTAGGAAACATGCAACACTCAAAGTAAACATTTTTTTTAAATGTTTAAAAACCTAATTATTTATTTTAAAGCCTGTGGAAAAGAACTAAATTTGAAATTTGATTATTTGCTGAATGTTTCACATAAGCATATGAGACAGTCTGCCTGTTGGATTTCCATAGATGACTGCTTAGAATAGAATAGATAGCAGATAGATAGCTAGACTAGATACCCCTCCAAACAAATAACCAAATAAAGTTGTTGTTTTTTTACTCTTCTCCAGTATAAGGTTAAAAGGAATTAAATTTGTTGAGGTAGGGTAGTAAATTTTAATAGAGGATATCAGGTGTATCTTAACTCCAGTATAAACTACTACTTAAATTTGTGTTGAAAATAAGTTACTGAAAAATGTAAAAATTAAGTCTACATTTTTGTGGATTAAAGTTCTTGTACATGGTGGTATAATTTCATGTATGCCTTTGAGATATGTGTGTATCAACTATTTGAGGATAAAAGTCCAGAAACAATTAGGGTTGCATTTATTTATTTATTTATTTTTAGTTTTTAAAAACTTTAATTTTTATTTTTTTTTTTTTCATTTATTTTTATTAGTTGGAGGCTAATTACTTTACAATATTGTAGTGGTTTTTGTCATACATTGACATGAATCAGCCATGGATTTACATGTATTCCCCATCCCGATCCCCCCTCCCACCTAGGGTTGCATTTAAATGTTTATGTACAGAGTGATAAGAGATGAAAGTACTAGATGGCTTAATAGATGTAGAGTGTCATTTTGCAGTGGAGCACATTTCTAGGAAAGACTTCATTCCTTGGCACTGTGCTAGAACTTCTATTTTTGTTTCACTTTGTTTTTCTTTTTTGCATTGGCTATATAAAAGTATAGATGACAATTGTGTCAGTCTGGCTTGATACACACTTCGAAAGTGGGTTCAGTTTCTACAGAGGCTCACTAATGTCAGTCGAGGGCTTTAAAAAGTATCTGATGTGGCTCCAGATGGTACCTTCTCATGGTAAATGGGAGTTATCTTTACCTTAGGTTTGGATTAAAATCTGTTTATGGTGACACTGGATAGCTGTTAGCCCTGCTTGGAAAAACCTACAAGTTTAGGACATCCCAGGAAACTTGATCTTTTATATTGTTCTTAGTGATGAAATGGGGTTTAAGATCTTGGAGAAGGAAATGGCAAACCACTCCAGTATTTTTGCCAGACAACCTTGCTGGCAGGCTACAGCCCACAGGGTTGCAGAGTCCGACACCACTTAGCAACTGAACTTTTAGAGTAACCCCAGAGTCCCAGAGGGCTTCTAGGAAGAACCTGCCTGCCAGTGCAGGCGATAAAGAGATGAGGGTTCGATCCCTGGGTCAGGAAGATCCCCTGGAGGAAATGGCAACCCACTCCAATATTCTTGCCTGGAGAATTCCATGGACAGAGGAGCCTGGCGGGCTACAGTCCATGGGATTGCAAAAGAGTTGGACACTTTGAACTTAGCAACTAAACAACAACAACAATAAATATAGTACTTTACAAAATATTTGAAGAGTTCACTTTTCTCAGGTTCTTTTCCATTCTTTGGGGGGCCTCCCTGGTGGTTCAGATGGTGAAGAATCTGCCTGCAATGACAGAGACCCAAGTTAAATCTCTGGGTAGGGAAGATCCCCTGGAGAAGGGAATGTCTACCCACTCCAGTGTTCTTACCTGAAGTGGATAAAGGAACCTGGCAGGCTGTAGTCCATGGGATCACAAAGAGTTGGGCACCACTGAGTGACTAACACTTTCACTTTCACTTTTTCCTGTTCTTTGGCAACTTTCTACCTTTTTTTTTTTTTTTTTTTGGCCTTGCTGTGTAGCATGCATTATCTTAATTCCCTGACCAGGGATGGAACCCATGTCCCCTGCATTGGAATCACGGAGTCTTAACCACTGGACCGTCAGGGAAGTCCCTGCAACTTTCTACTTTTGCATGTTTGTCTTAGCTTGTTTATCTGTTACCAACTCAAAAGAATATGATGTAGAAAAATGGGTTGTCTCACATACTTTTGTTACTATAAAACATGAGTGTTGGGATTTTGTTCTTTGTTACACTAACTTGGAATATGCATATTGCTGTTGATGTTATGGATATAACAGAGGAAGATATGGACCACCCTACCCCATTCTTTTCCTGCCACTGTAGAGAAAGTAAATAGTCTAAAATACTTGCAAAAAATTGTGAAGTCCTATGTTGTAACAACATGCCATTGTTCTCCTACAGTGTGATAAATGTATACAAAAATGTATCAGTACTATTTTTGAACAATTCCAGAAAGATCCAAGGAATAAAATAATTAAAATTATCATTTATCACTCAGTATTGTCTTTTCCTTATGTTAGAGTTGCATATCTTAATATATAAAGAGTTGATCTCTTAAGCAACCCAATGGACTATACAATCCATGGAATTCTCCAGGCCAGAATACTGGAGTGGGTAGCCTTTCCCTTCTCCAAGGGATCTTCCCAACCCAGGGATTGAACCCAGGTCTTCGCATTGCAGCTGGATGCTTTACCAGCTTAGCCACAAGAGAAGCCCTTATTTGAAATATGGAACACTAATTCAGAATTTTGCTATTTGGTTAAAGAATAAACTGTTCCATTTCTACCCCAGCTGGGTATACTCAGTTCAACTCTGATATTAATCACCCATAGATTAACACCACAGGAGTTCATGCAGTTCCCACTAGTTAAAGGTTCAGTTGTCCAGATGCCATTGCTTCCAAGGCCAACCACACTTTTAACTGACTTGACTATAGATTTGGGAGTTCCTGTGAGCCCTTGGGTT